GAACAGGAAATGTTCACTCTGCCCTACGCAAGTTGAAGGTCACTGAGAACAGTCCAGAGGACAAGCACTGGACATAGATGATCAAGAGTAAGCCAGAAATCAGGGCAGGCAGCAAATATGGATAACTAGGAACATGCCAATGGTCAGGGCAGTCAGCAAACATGGATAACTAGGTACACGCCAATGGTCAGGGCAGTCAGCAAACATGGATAACTAGGAACAAGCCAGAGGTCAGGGCAGGCAGCAACCATGGATAACTAGCAACAAGCCATTGGTCAGGGCGGACAGCAGACCTGGATAACTAGGAACAAGCCAGAGCTCAGGACAGGACATGTTCACTCTGCCCTACACAAGTTGAAGGTCACTGAGAACAGTCCAGAGGTCAGGGCTGGCTGTGGACACAGATATCTGATCAGGAACAAGCCAGAGGTCAGGACAGGCAGAAGACATGAAAAACCAGGAACAAATCGGGTCAGGGCAGGCAGTAGACATGGATGACCAGAAACGAGTTCAGGACATGTTCACTGTGCCTTAAGAATCATGGACCACAAGTTGAAGGTCACTGAGAGTAGCCCAGAGATCAGAGCTGGCTGTAAACACAGATATCTGGTGAGCTGCAAGCCAGAGGTCAGGACAAGCAGCAGGCATGGAAAACCAGGAACAAATCAGGGGTCAGGGTGGGCAGTAGCCATTGATGACCAGAAACAAGCAAGAGTTCAGGACATGTTCACTGTTCCCTAAGAATCATGGACCACAAGTTGAAGGTCACTGAGAATAGTCCAGAGGTCAGAGCTGGCTGTGGACACAGATATCTGGTGAGCTGCAAGCCAGAGGTCAGGAAAAGCAGCAGGCATGGAAAACCAGAAACAAATCAGGGGTCAGGGTGGGCAGTAGCCATTGATGACCAGAAACAAGCAAGAGTTCAGGACATGTTCACTGTGCCCTAAGAATCATGGACCACAAGTTGAAAGTCACTGAGAATAGTCCAGAGGTCAGAGCTGGCTGTGGACACAGATATCTGGTGAGCTGCAAGTCAGAGGTCAGGGCAGGCAGCAGACATGAATAACCAGAAAGAAGTGGGTACACAAGAGTCAATGGAGGATGCAAGCTATAAAGAGACAGAAGGCGTACCAGAGACTCGACAGCTAGCTTTTAAAAGTGTTGTTCAAGCAGGGGTAGGCAAGAGGAAGTAGCCATTGAGTTGGGCCGTGGCCATTCTAGATAAGGGTGCCACTTCCATTGGCTGTGTGTAGCAGGAGGCGGGCACCGCTCTGATGGGACATGGTCGCAATATCCCTAGTAAAATCCAGAAATGCGTATGGCCGTGTTCCTTAGAAACAGAGGCAGAGTGGGTCAAGGAAGGCAAGTAGCACTGACATATACACACAAAACATATTTGGAGAATTCACATCATTTCTCTAAAATACAATTTATATTTGAGAACAGTGATGTCACTTTAAAATAGAAACTCTGGAAAAGGGTAATTCCATAACTACAGAATATTGGAGAGTCAGGATGTCATGGCAGTGAAATATAACTTCTAAATGCATTTAGGTGTTCGTTGTTTTGTGTTATGTGGCTTTGACTTTTTTTTCCTTTATACAACTCAGTCCAGATGCACCAGATTGTACAATCCAATTGTACTGTGCAGGATGGGTACCTAAGAAGACCTTCCATTTTTCTATTTTTTAATCCTACATGGCTCTCCATTCCCTGTGGTTGTTAAACAATCGCTCCTGCAGTCCCAGGCGTATTTGGTATCTGTATCTTGCTGATCTCTTTAGTTCCCAAGGAGTCCCTGGGACAGTGTCAGCGGTCATTTCGATTTGGGCATCACCCAAGTTCTCTGTCGTTTTCCCACAGCCTTCTTCACCCCCTCAGTTCCTCCCTTTTGATTTGTGCGGCGCACCTTCAGCGCAGCTATGGCCGTCCCGCTTCCATGCTGGGGCCAGAACATCTTTGCAGCGTCTGGGTTTATTGAGGAGTCCTGCCAAGTGTGTCGGCTGTCTTATCCCATGACACACGCCTTAACCCTTCCCTTCCATTACATGGCTTCGTACATCTACGTTGAGTGTCCTTCTTAAAGTTCCAGAACTGCTTTGTAATGTGTTTGTTGGGGAATCAAGCAGTATGGAGACATTAGATCTATGACACCCTAGGATTCAGTCTTTTGCATCATCATACTAAAAAGCCTTTTGAAAACTTTATTAAGTGTAGACTCTATTTGGATAATGCGTCACAACAAACAATTGTCATGAACAAAACACGTGCGTCATAAAAAAGAGAAGCCAAGACTACTGGCCGGAAGGAAATTACCGTGACTTTTTGTGATCCTAGTTGTGTGATGGCCAGGCTAAGTCTGCCTGACTCTATCCACGCTGTATTGATCTTTTTTTCAGTCTGTTGTCTGTCAAATCTTTTTTGGAACATACAAATGTTGTCCAGAATCTATGAAAATTGAGTAATCAGCTCCATGGGAGTCTTTGTGAGTACAAAATGTTCTTGAAGCAGATCAAAATCAGGTCTGAAGATACCTGCAGGTCAAATTCACCTGTGGATTAATTGTGAAGAATCTCAGAAACTTTCTAAACTGATGTGAAAGCCCAAATCTCATTGTAATGTATCAGGGAAGAACATTATCTCTTCAACCCTTCCAAGCCTATGTTAGCTGGTAGCCATGACTTACTAGACTCATACAACATGGGGCCCTCTGGGTTCCACTTACCCAGGATGACCCTCCATTGGTTCTTTCTCTTCAGAACACCTAAAAGGCAACCCAGCCTGGCCTAGCCAGAACGTAGGCCTGGTTCACACTTGTGCGATGCGTCTTTGAGTCAATTTGAGGTGCAATTGTAGTGACTTTTATGTGATTTTATACCTTGTTGCGGTTTCATCCCTAGTAGTCAAAGTGCTGCTGCTTTGCCTGCAAGGAAAGTTGAGTCACGCTGGAATTGCACCAAACGTTGTACAGGCACCTTTTCCAAAATTTCTTTGTGATGAGTCACATTAATGTTAATGGGTACCATTGAAAACAATGGGATTTCCATTGTCATGCAATTCTGTGCAACTCAAGTCGCATCATAAATCATACTAGTGTGAACCGGACCTTAATGGTGTATCCAATCTACTGCGCCTAAAGCTAGGAATCCAACATTCTCTGGGCACAAACTCGTATTCAGGAGACAACCCCTATGATCAGAAGAATAAGACAATGACCAGGCTAGGTACTGCCGATCAACGCTTTATTAAATTAATAGATTCCATCCATTCAGCCATGCCCCGCAATAGTAGCATATCTACTTGATAAACAGAAACAATTAGCAGGATTACAACAAGACATCTGTGAGAGAGTGTATGTTGAGACCTGTGTCCAATTACATAGGATAAAAGTCCATGCATTCTTGGATTAAAGCAGTGGCCTCCAAACTGTGGCCCGGGGGACAGATTTGGGCCTTTGCTTGCCTTTACCCAGTCCTTGAAAAGTGTTTCTTCCCACTGACGCAAGACACTACTCCCACTGACACCAATGATGGGGCACTATTTCTCCCACTGACAACAGTGATGGGGCACAATTTCTCCTATTGACACCAATGATGGGGCACTATTTTTTCTAGTGACACACCAATGATGAGGCACGATTTCTCCCACTGATACCAATGATGGGGCACTATTTCTTCAATTGACACCAATGATGAGGCATATATCTCCCACTGACACCAAAGATGGGGCAATATTTCTCCCACTGACACCAATGATGAGGCACTATTTCTCCCGCTAACAACAATGATGGGGCACTACTTCTCCCATTGACATCAATGGTGAGTCACTATTTCTCCCACTGACACCAGTGATGGGGCACTATTTTTCCTATTGACATCAATGATGGGGCACTATTTCTCCCATTGACATCAATGAAGAGGCACTATTTCTCCCACTGACACCAGTGATGGGGAACTATTTCTCCTATTGACACCGATGATGGGGCACTATTTCTCCATTGACAAAAGTGATGGGGCACTATTTCTCCCACTGACACCAGCGATAGGGCACTATTTCTCCCACTGACACCAGCGATGGGGCACTATTTCTCCCACTGACACCAGCGATGGGGCACTATTTCTCCCATTGACACCAATGATGGGGCACTATTCCTCCCCCCTATTGCTAAAGATGTACTGTTTATTTCTATTGACTTCAGGACATTTTCTACTCCCACTGGCCACAGTCTGGCCCCTTAAAGTCTGAAGGACCGTAAACTAGCCCATTGTTTAGAAAGTTTGGAGACTCCAGGATTAAAGGAATGTGTCTGGTCTTACCTCCCAACAAGGCAAAGTATACAGTCCCAATGCTTCTCCTCCAAAGGGGAATCCTGATGGGGAAAGTTTGCCCACTACATGGTTCCACCTAAGGAGTTCCAACCAGGAGAAAATGAAGCCTGCACCCAGTTATGGCTTGCCCACCAGAATCCACTGCCTCTATTTATATCCTCATCCCCCCCAGATGCCATGATAGACAGGTGGTGGAGTTGCTACCCAACCCCTGGTAGCTCTCAGATTTTAGCTAGAGGAAGACACCTTGCCGCTCAGCCCTACACCAGTGGTTCCCAACCACAGTCCACCAGTACTCCCAACAGGTTATGTTTTCAAGATTTTTTGCACTTGGCACAGGTGCTTTAAATCAATGTAAATAGCTTGGTATTCACGGGAGCTCTTTTATCTAAGGGAAATTTCTGAAACGTGGCCTGTTGGTGGTACTTGAAGAAAGGTTGAAAACCACAGCCCTACATCATCGACACAGGCCATTAGTGGGATCATTGCAATAAAGATCTTGGTGTACAGTTAAACGTTGCTGTCCTTTCACTGAAAAATGTTCATCTCCAACGTCTTTACGTCCTCTCCAACGTAGTTCCTGACAATGAGATTTCTAGATCTGTCAGGCTAACTGTTTTGAGGTTTAGGTTTACTTTTATGTTAAAGGTGACATGCTTTGATGGCATATGTGTTCAGTTGTGTGACCGCATTTAAATAACTGCTCTCGTTTTCTGTTGTAGGTTGAGCAGTTTGTCGTCTGTAAGTGACGGAGCATCAGAACGAAGGTCTCCTGGACACCAGCGCCAAACTACCGACGACTACAACGAGTCAACTGGTAACCATGTCTCTTATCAAATTGTGTTGAGAGTGGTACTGGATCTGAATGAATGAATTTTTATGCTTTACTATGGAGCTTAGTGACGGAGATGTGGTTGTTAGGCTACTCCTTGGGCTTTATGTGCCACCCAACCACTGGAGGACCTTGGATGACTACTCAAAATCCAATGTTTAATAGCCAACAGAATGGATAAAAGGGCAGTTCTAAAGCCAAAAACAGAAATCTTAATAAAGAGCACCTTAGCAGTCTTTAGATAGGGTGGTGCATTGGTTTTCTTTTTTTCAGGAACGTTTTCAGCAAGTACAGAAATCATCTGTGGATCTTGCAAGAAATGCAGTATTTTTGTGAGTTGAATTGATATATCAAACACTTCTTTATTCAATTCATTACAGGTACTTCTATAGCACTGTCAATTTATGCAGCGCTTTACACATATATTGAACATTCACATCAGTCCCTAACCCTCAAGGAGCATACAATCTAAGGTCCCTAACTCACATTCATACATACACATACTAGGGACAATTAACCCACCAGCATGTCTTTGGAGCGCTGGAGGAAATCCACGCAGGCACAGGGAGAACATGCAAACTCCAGGCAGGTAGTGTCATGGTTGTAATCTAAGGACTTGTAAACTGCATTATAATACATTGTTGTTTTTGGGTTTAGATACACCCTAATCCATAGTGGAAAGCCAACATGTTTCAGGGTTGTACAAATCTCCTGTTTTTCGGGGGTTAGGATCAGCTGTGTAATGTTTTCATTTTTTATTTTTGGACAGCAAAACATTGTCTGACATTTAACCCCTTGAGCTCCGGAACATTTTACCCCCTTCAACTACCATTTTTTGCTATACCGTGCTGCGCTACTTTAACTGGCAATTGCGCGGTCATGCAACGCTGTACCCAAATAAAATTTATATATATTTTTACACACATATAGAAGTTTATATTGGCAGTATTTGATTACCACTAGTTTTTTTTTTTAATTTTTTAAATTTTTTTATAGAACGTGTCCAATAAAAAAAAAAATAAAAGTTCTACATAAATTTTGGCCAGAATGTGTTCTGCTACATGTCTTTGATAAAATGATCCCAATAAGTGTATATTGATTTGGTTGGCGTGAAAGTTTTAACACCTACAAACTATGATATATACGGTGTATAGGCATTTTAAATTTTTTTTTTATACTACTGATCAGCGACTTATAATGGGATGGCGATAGTGCGTTGGGCATCTGACACTAACTGACGCTGGGGGAACTGACTAACTGCCACTGACATCTACAGTGATTTTTTTGGGGTTTTTTTGTGACCAAAATTTTTGAATAAAAAAAACAATATTTTCTTACTTTTTATAAAACATATCCAATAAAAAAAAATACAAGTTCTACATAAATTTTGGCCAGAATGTTTTCTGTTACACGTCTTTGATAAAATCATCCCAGTAAATGTATATTGATTTGGTTGGCGTGAAAGTTTTAACACCTACAAACTATGGTATATACGGTGTATAGGCATTTTCATTTTTTTTTTTATACTACTAAGGTGGTGATTAGTGACTTATATTGGGATGGCTATAGTGCGTGGGCATCTGACACTAACTGACGCTGGGGGGAACTGACTAACTGCCACTGACATCTACAGTGATATTTTTGGGGGTTTTTTTTTTGTGACCGAAATTTTTGAATAAAAAAACAATATTTTCCTACTTTTTATAAAACATATCCAATAAAAAAAATACAAGTTCTACATAAATTTTGGCGGTGGACATCTGACACTAACTGACGCTGGGGGGGGAACTGACTAACTGCCACTGACATCTCCAGTAACATTTTTGGGTTTTTTTTTGTGACCAAAATTTTTTAATAAAAAAAACAATATTTTCCTCCTTTTTTTTTTAAAACATATCCATTAAAAAAAATACGAGTTCTACATAAATTTTGGCCAGAATGTGTTCTGCTACATGTCTTTGATAAAATCATCCCAATAAGTATAAATTGATTGGTTGGCTTGAAAGTTTTAACACCTACAAACTATGGTATATACGGTGTGTGAGCATTTAAATTTATTTTTTTTATACTACTGAGCTGGTGATCAACGACTTATAATGGTATGGCGATAGTGCGGCGGGCAATCTGACACTAACTAAAGCTGGGGGGAACTGACTAACTGCCACTGACATCTCCAGTGACATTTTTGGGGGTTTTTTTGTGACCAAAATTTTTTAATAAAAACAATATTTTCCTCCTTTTTTTTAAAACATATCCATTAAAAAAAATACGAGTTCTACATAAATTTTGGCCAGAATGTGTTCTGCTACATGTCTTTGATAAAATCATCCCAATAAGTGATATTGATTGGTTGGCTTGAAAGTTTTAACACCTACAAACTATACGGTGTGTGCGCATTTTAATTATTTTTTTTTTTATACTACTAAGCTGGTGATCAGCGACTTATAATGGGATTGCGATAGTGAGGCGGGCAATCTTACACTAACTAAAGCTGGGGGGAGCTGACTAACTGCCACTGACATCTCCAGTGACATTATTGTGACCAAAATTTTTTAATAAAAAAAAACAATATTTTCCTCCTTTTTTTAAAACGTATCCATTAAAAATTTTTTTTACAAGTTCTACATAAATTTTGGCGGTGGGCATCTGACACTAACTGACGCTGGGGGGAACTGACTAACTGCCACTGACATCTCCAGTGACATTAATACAGTGATCAATGGTAATACTATACACTGTCACTGTGTTAATGACACTGGCAGGGAAGGGGTAAACATCTAGGGCAGGGGTGTCAAACTGGCGGCCCTCCAGGTGTTGCGAAACTACAAGTCCCACCATGCCTCTGCCTTTGACAGTTACAATCATGACTCCCAATCTTGCAATGCCTCATGGGACTTGTAGTTTAGCAACAACTGGAGAGCTGCCAGTTTGACACCTGTGATCTAGGGGTTAAATGTGTGCCTAACTATGTGTAATATGTGTAAAGTGTGCTGCTTTTCCTAAGAGATCTCTAAGTTTCCCTCTGTACAGAGCTCTGTGTTGACTGTCAACACAGAGCTCTGGGTTGTGATAGGACACAGCCAATCAGCAGTTCTCGGTCGTGAATCATTGGCTGGGACTTGCTGACAGACTCCTGCTGTGTACAATCACAGTGGGTGCCTGCCAGGGGACATGCATGAGTGGCTGAACCCCGGAAGTAGCTTTGCCGACAGCGGCTGCCTGTCTGCAATACATTGCAGGTGGTCTCCTAGTGGTTAACTATACCCGTCTAAAAACACACAAAAATACAGATCTTTAAAAAAAACATATTAACATAAGTAAATAACTTGTTGTTCAGCAAATTGCCTGCCTGTATACAATGCTTTAAAGGGGTTTTAAACCCCAAACCAAAAAATGTAATATATTGCAGCTTACCAATCGTTAAATGTAGTGGCTGCATTAGTTTTCATTTTTTTAAAATGTTTTTTCCCCTCTGTTTTCACCTGCTGATCTGTCCAGTAACAGACCTCCTTTATTTGGCTCCATACACCCATAGCGGATTTTTTTTAAGCTCAAAAACGCTAGTTAAAAAAACTCTGGTAAAATCGCAGATTTAAATACACTACCAAATTGAAGCCAAACTCCAGCTCACATATTAATAAGTGGTGTTGGGCTCCACAAACGGTACGGGCGTTAGGCGGCCCCACAATGCATTGTGCCCTGATAGTACATTGTCATTGGTCAAAGCAATGCACCTGACCACGGGTCAGGTGCAATGTTTTGGCCCATCACAGCACAGGATGACGTGACAAGGGGTGGGGTGAACCCCGCCCCCTTGTGACATCATGACAGTATTTAAGAACTGTCATTGCGGCACAGCAGTCAGATGGCTGGGATCCAGTGTCGCGAGCGGAGTGTGTGGGTTTCCTCCAGGTACTCCGGTTTCCTCCAACACTCCAAAGACATGCTGGTAGGTTAATTGGATCCTGTCTCAATTGGCCCTTCTATGTGTATGTAAGTTAGGGACCTTAGATTGTACGCCCCTTGAGGATTAGGGACTGATGTGAATGTACAATATGTGTGTAAAGCCCTGTGTAAATTGATGGGGGTATATAAGTACCTGTAATAAATAAATAAATAAAAAAAACGCTGAAAAACTTGCGTTTTTGACGTGAATTTACACACCAGCATTATTAAAACGCCCAGTGTTAATGGAGCCTTATGAGGAAAGAGGCAGGGTCTGCATCCTTTTAGACATAATTTCCCTTTGGGACTGTCAGTAATCTGGGTATGACCAGAAGTGTGTGGACTGACACAGGGAAACGCAGGCTTCAGGTATAGTATAACAATACAATTTATTAAAGCCTAACAATACATAAACGCAGTGCAAATCATAACACAGTGCAACAAACCAAACCTTCAACAAACAACCATACACACAATACTAAACGTAGTCGGGCAGGCCGGGTCGGTAACAAACGGGCAAACAAGGTACCAGGAGCAGGCGGGAGAGTGGTCAGGACTAGCCGAGGTCAGTACAGGCAGAGTTCGTGCAGAATCAGGGTAGAAGCAAGCAGGATCAGGATACCGGGGCCAAGCGAAACAGTACAACAAGGCACTGACTTCAGGTCTGGCCATTCCTTAAATACACCTCCTGCAATCAGCCTCAGGTGATGGGCTGACTGCAGGAGTGAGCTTCTGGTTGCTGAGAGCACCCGCTGGCTAGCCCTGGTACTGCAGCCCACAAGGCAGGTGAGTCCCACCACCATTGGCGAGTCCATTCCTGACAGACATTTTTGTTACTGGGGATGCCAAAAATCGAACTTTTATCTTCATGCAGACTTCTGGGAAAATCAGTAAGCCAATCACATAAGCAGGAAATATTTCTGGGGCGTGGGAGGGGGGGGGGGGTTCAGCACACCATTTGTGTACAGAAAACCTCCAGGTAGCCATATTGCATTACATCTTACAGAAAATTACAGTAATGCAGATTGAAACACAAATGTTATTTCTAATACCATTAAATTTCAATATGACTTGTGTAACAATTGTATGTGCTATAGTTTTTTTTTTGCTATTTTTTTCCCGCAAAAAGTGTACTTACTCTTTAACTTATTTACCATGACAAGTGAACAGTGTCTACTCCTTTAGTAAATCAACCCCAATGCCTTCAGTGGCAGAATTCATAAATAATGACTTGAGCGTTGCACTGCACTGATATAGTTACTAGAGATCACAAACTGCTCAATGCAAGCAGGGCCTCTCCCCATCATTTACAAAAGTTTATGGCGTTTCTGGATATTTAAACAAGCGAATATGTTCTAGTTTGTTCTAGTTTTGTGTGTTTTTTTTCCCATGAAGCTTTTACGGAGGATTTTCTCTGGTTTAGACTGCAGGTTGAACTAGAGGAAACGAGCCGTGTGTGGCAAGCTTTAGAAGGAAATTAGCCAGAGCAAGATTCTAGTGCAGAATGTGCACACGCCAGCACAGGCTCCGAAGCACAGTATGTGTGCACATATACCTTGTATCTGCTTGGATAGAAGCTCGGTGCCACAGCTCACTGTCAGGGGCGGACTGACCATTTGGAAACTCGGGCACTGCCCGAGGGCCCAGGGTCAGTAGGGGGCCCCATGAGATGCCCCTGGTACCTTTTTAATAGGCTTTTTTGAGTTTGGGCAAGGACACAGGGGCCCCATGATCCCCTATTGCCCAGTGGCACCATGAGTTGTCAGACCGCCCCTGCTCACTGCATACTAGTTGTCCCTGGAAAAGTCCTAACACTCCAGTCCTGAAACCACTGTACATCCAATGGTGTCCCAACCCATGATGCTTTGTCTGATGCTGCCCTCCTCAGACCGGAACATCTCCAAAAGGACTGTAAAGAGGGCTCAGATACCTAGAACATTACCACCACCACCGTTTGTTGGATCCAGAAGACAAAAACATGCAAACATGAAATGGAACAAGCGTATCAAACACAACTCCATCCGTAGACCTTGTATGCTAAGGTTGGAAGCCGAACGCATTTTGGGGGATGTGCCCCCTTCCTTCAGCTCTGAGGAGAGGGGTAAGTCCCCCGAAATGTGATGGTCTTCCAACCTTAGCATAGATCAGGGGTCTCCAAACTGCGGCCCATGGGCCGGATGTGGCCCTTTGCTTTTTTTTATTTGTCCCTATTCCGTCCACAGACAACAGAGTTTGGGAATTCATTCTCTTACCGACATTAATGATGGGGCCCTATTCCCCCCACTGACACCAATGTTGGGCACTATTCCCCCCACTGGCACCAATGTTGGGTTACTATTCCCCCCACTGGCACCAATGTTGGGTCACTATTCCCCCCCACTGGCACCAATGTTGGGACACTATTCCCCCCACTCTACACCAATGTTGGGGCACTATTCCTTTCACTGACACTAATGTTGTGGCATTATTTCTCCCACTGATACCAATGATGGGTCACTATTCCTCCCACTAATACCAATGTTGGGGCATTATACCTCCTACTGACACCAATGATGGGGCACTATTCCTTCTACTTATACCAATGATGGGGTACTATTCCTCCCACTGACACCAACAATGGGGCACTATTTCTCCTGCTGACACCAATGATGTGGCACTATTCCTTCCACTAATGCCAATGATGAGTCACTATTCCTCCCACTAATACCAATGTTGGGGCACTATACCTCCTACTGACACCAATGATGGGGCACTATTCCTTCTACTTATACCAATGATGGGGTACTATTCTTCCCACTGACACCAATGACAAGGCACTATTCCTCCTACTGATGCCAGTTATGGGGCACTATTCCTCCCACTGACACCAATGATGGAGCACTATTCCTCCCACTGACACCAATGATGGAGCACTATTCCTCCCACTGACACCAATGATGGGGCACTATTCCCCCCACTGACACCAATGATGTAATTTTTTTTTCTATTCCTACTGACCACCAAGCCTATGACGTTGTTCACACTCCCACTGATGCCAGGGCATGTTCTACACTCACTGGTCACAGTCTAGCCCCCCTAAAGTTTGAAGGGCAATAAACTGGACTTTTGCTTTGATAGTTTGGAGACTCCTGGCATAGCTGGTCAGACGACCCCGCCTACAGATGAAGTTGTGTTTTGATACACTTGTTCCTTTTCATGCTTGTACGTTTTTTTGTGTTTTTTTTTCCTTTGGATCCAATGAATGTTGGTGGTAATGCAGTAGGCGTTTGCACCCTCCTCTGGGTTTTCACATACTAGGGCGTAGATTTAAATCCCTTGGACACTAGAGGGTTACGTTGAGCTACAAGAGACACGTGGTTACAGTTTGATACTGGTGATCCTTTTAGTTATTTTGCCTTTAGCATGTTTCTAGCTTTATACATTTTATTGACTAAAGTTAAAAAGTATTCCTGATATTTGTGATACTTCAAGCAGACACTGAATCCAGTCAATGAGCATTGCTAGCTTGATAAATCATTTGGCGTCCTGTTGGGTGATGTGTGACCAAACAAAAAAGATGTAGAATTGGACAATGGCTCCCCCATGTGAGCATCCCGAGATCTGTGCGCTGTGCTTATATCCGTTCTTTTTTCTTTTATTTTCGAAGGTTTGGTTCAACGTTGCGTTGTTGTACAGAGGGACCAAAATGGCTTTGGCTTCACCGTCAGTGGGGACCGGATTGTCCTTGTCCAGTCTGTGCGCCCAGGTGAGTCACCTATGCATTGTAAAGAAGCTGGTGTCCACAAAAGGTATTTACACTCTATTGCCAAAAGTATTGGTCGGCCGGCCTTTACACACACAAGAACTTTAATGGCCCCCCAGTCTTAGTCCGTAGGGTACAATATTGAGTTGGCCCCGCCCTTTGCTGCTATAACAGCTTCAACTCTTCTGGGAAGGCCGTCCACAAGGTTTAGGAGGGGTCTATGGGAAGGTTGGACCATTCTTCCAGCAGCACATTTGTCAGGTCAGGAACTGATGTTGGGGGGAGAAGGCCTGGCTCGCAGTCTCCGCTCTAATTCATCCCAAAGGTGTTCAATGGGGTTGAGGTCAGGACTCTGTGCAGGACAGTCAAGTTCCTCCACCCCAAATTCGCTCATCCATGTCTTTATGGACCTTGCTTTGTGCACTGGTGCGCAGTCATGTTGGAACAGGAATAGGCCATCCCCAAACTCTTCCCACAAAGTTGGGAGCATGAAATTGTCCGAAATGTCTTGGTATGCTGACACCTTAAGAGTTCCCTTCACTGGAACTAAGGGGCCAAGTCCAACCCCTGAAAAACATCCCCACATCATAATCCTCCCTCCACCAAACTTTACACTTGGCACAATGCAGTCAGGCAACCGCCAAACCCAGACACGTCCATCAAATTGCCAGACAGAGAAGTGTGATTGTTCATTCCAGAGAACACGTCTCCATGGCTCTAGAGTCCAGTGGCAGTGTGCTTTATAGCATGGCATCCAACGCTTTGCATTGCACTTGGTGATGTAAGGCTTGGATGCAGCTGCTCTGCCATGGAAACCCATTCTATGAAGCTCTCCATGTACTGTTGTGCTAATCTGAAGGCCACATGAAGTTTGGAGGCATTTAGCTATTGACTCTGCAGACAGTTGGTGACTTTTGCGCACTGTGCGCTTCAGCATGCGCTGACCCCACTCTGTCATGTGACGTGCCCTACCACTTGGTGGCTGAGTTGCTGTTCCCAGTTGCTTCCACTTTGTTATAATCCCACTAACAGTTGAGAGTGGAATATTTAGTAGTCAAGAAATGTCACGGATGGACTTATTGCACAGGTGACCACCTATCACGGTACCACGCTTGGAGTCACTGAGCTCCTGAGAGCGACCCATTCTTTCACAAATGTTTGTAGAAGCAATCTACATGCCTAGGTGATGATTTTATATACCTGTGGACATGTAGGGGATTGGAACACCTGAATCCAATGATTTGGAGGGCTGGCCCAATACTTTTGGCAATATAGTATATATCTCTACTTGCACCTTCCCCCAGAGGGTGATTATGTACACGTGAACGCCAGTACTTGCGTTTTAGATTCACACACGCATGGACAAAAGTTTGTGTTTTTGGAAATATTACAATATGTGTATAAAGAAACGGACTAATTAATTTTAAACAAAGACATTGCAGCAATAATATTGTATATAATAAGTGTATATTTATTGGTTTGTGTGAAAGTTATCCACAATCTATGGGATACACTGTATCCATCCTGATGTACGGACATCCGATCTCATTTCTTGAGGCCCCAAAATGTCAGGACAATACAGGTATCCCCCAAATGACCACTTTTTGGAAAGTAGACAGTCCAAGGTATTTATTAAGAAGCATGGTGTTTTTTTTGTTTTTTTTAAATATATGTTCTAAAATATATTCTTCAAATTTTTTTTAACATATAAAAAAATAATTTTAACAATTTTTACATATATTTGTAAATGCATTCCAAAAATTTAGATTTGTATTTTTAAAGACATACAGTATACTTGAAATGTATCTTTACAAATATTTTTCATATAATTTGTAATAACGCATTTCAACATACAGTATGTGTGTGTATGTATGTATATATATATATATATATATATATATATATATATATATATATATATATATACTGTACTTTTCGCTCCATAAGACGCACCTAGGTTTTAGAGGAGAAAAAACAAGACAAAAAAAATCTGAACCAATGGACTGCAGACACAGTACAGTGGATGACCAGAGACTGCTGACACAGTACAGGAGATGACCAGAGACTGCGGACACAGTACAGGAGATGACCAGAGACTGCGGACATAGTACAGGGAATGACCAGAGACTGCGGACACAGTACAGGGAATGACCAGAGACTGCAGACACAGTACAGTGGATGACCAGAGACTGCTGACACAGTACAGGAGATGACCAGAGACTGCGGACACAGTACAGGAGATGACCAGAGACTGCGGACACAGTACAGGAGATGACCAGAGACTGCGGACACAGTACAGGAGATGACCAGAGACTGCAGACACAGTACAGGGAATGACCAGAGACTGCGGACATAGTACAGAAGACCATAGACTGCAGACAGTGCAGGAGATGACCAGAGACTGCAGACAGTAAAGGAGATTACCAGAGACTGCAGACCTTTGGGGAGGGAGGGGGAACGGGTACCTGAATTTGACAAGTACTCGCTCCCACTTCCACGGAGTTGTCCTTCCTTCTTCCCGTGGCGGTTTCTGTGACAGCCGGGTGCCCACTGCGCATGCGCGAGAAGCGCTGCGCTTTGTGAATGGCCCGGAGCCTTCTGGGACCTGCCTTGTGTCCCAGAAGACACCGGACCATTCACAAAGCGTGGCGCTTCTCGAGCATGCGCAGTGGGCACCCAGCTGTTACAGAAGCCGCTGCGGGAAGACTGCAGCGCTGGAGCAAGGAACAGGTAAGGTCCTGCAGGAGAGAAGAGCTAAGCGTTCGGCCCGCTATTCTGTGGCGGCAGAAATATCGGACCGGCCGCTTTACATTCGCTCCATAAGACGCACTGACATTTTCCCCCCTTTTTTGGGGGGAAAAAAGTGCGTCTTATGGAGCGAAAAATACGGTATATATATATATATATATATATATATATATATATATATATATATATATATATATATATATATATGTATGTGTGTGTGTGTATATATGTATATATATTTTTAAATATATTGAATATGGCCACAATTGTAGTATTTCAGCTATATGGCAATGTATTTTGGAAGAATATTTTTAAAATATATTTCAAATCTATTTTTCTTCCATGGTTGGGTATACAGTTTATGTTCATGTTGGTGCATGTAGGAGAGGAATATCTTTTTATGTAAAGTAGTAATGTACTCTAATAAACAGATTACTACTTTTTTTTCTTTTTTTTTTATCTGATATTAGCATAGATATTTTTTTTTTTGTTTAATGTATGCCGTGACCTCCAGACAATACTGTCTTTCATTGCTGGAGAACAGGCGCTGTGTAGGTGATTGTGTAATGGGGTGATTTGACTCTGGACAGCGATGGCCGTGACATTAAATACACGTGGACTTCAGATTCCAGCTGTGATTAGGAGAATACCAATCCTGCCGTAAGACCTTGTACAGTACTGTTCTCCTGGAGGAAACCTTTAGCAGGGACATTGGTAGAAGTACAACTCTGACAGGGGCTCTCTCTTTCCCTGTTCTACTAAAAAAATATGTTTGTGTTGCTGTTGGAGGGGAAATCTGTCAAACATATCTCTGCAAGGGAGTCAAAACCCAACAGGGGATCTAACATTTCAGCATATAGTACAGGGGTCTCCAAACGGCAGCCCACGGGTCATATCTAGCCCTCTGCAAGATTTCGTGTGGCCCTCTGATGTAAGGGGGGACTCTGAAGGGGACCCAGATGTACCTCTGATGGGGATCTGAATGTAAAGGGGGACTCTGGGAACCTGGATGTAAGGGGGACTCTGATTTGGACCCAGAAGTGGGGGGGACTCTGAGGGGGATCCAGATAGAAAGGGAGACTCTGATGGGGACCTTGATGGAAGGGGGACTCTGATGGGGACCCAGATGGAAGGGGGGACCCGAATTTAAGGAGGGACTCAGGGACCCGGATGTAAGGGGGGGAAACTGGGACCCGGATGTTAGGGGGGATTCTGATGGGGATCTGAATGTAAGGGGGGGCTCTGATGGGGACCCAGATGTGAGTGGGGACTCTGATGGGGACCCAGATGGAAGTGGAGATTCTGATGGGGATCCAGGATGTTAGGGGGGACTCTGATGGGTACCCGAATGTTAGGGGGGACTCTGATGGGGGACCCAAATGTTAGGGGAACTCTAATGGGGACCCAGATGTTAGGGGGAACTTTGATGGGGACCTGATGTTAGGAGGGGACTCTGATGGAGATCCAGATGTGGGGGGGGGACTCTGATGTGGTCCCAGATGTAAGGGGGAATTCTGATTGGGGACCCGTCTGTAAGGGGGGACTCAGATGGGGACTTTGATAGGGACCGGATGTTAAGAGGGGACTCTGATGGGGACCTGGACGGAGGGGGGCTCTGATGGGGGCCCAGATGTAAGGGGGAATTCTGATCAGGGACCTGGAAGTAAGGGGGGACTCTGATGGGGAGCCAGATGTAACAGACTTTGATTGCGACCTTGATGTTAGGAGGGAACGCTGATGTGGGGAGGGGGATTCTGATGGGGACCCGGATGTTAGAGGGGGACTCTGATGGGGACCTGGATGGAAGGGGGGCTCTGATGGGGACCTGGATGAAAGGGGGGCCCCTAATGGAAAGGGGGACTCTGGGACCCGGATGTAAGGGAGGAAAATGGGACCAGGATGTAAGGGGGGACTCTGCTGGGGACCTGAATGTAATGGAGGACTCTGGGACCTAAATGTAAGGGGGACTCTGATGGGGACCCAGATGTGATTGGGGATCCGAATATTAGGGGGGGGGGGGGGGGGGACTCTGATGGGGACCTGGATCTAAGGGAGAATTCTGATTGGGGACCTGGAAGTAAGGGGGGACTCTGATGGGGACCCAAAATATTAGGTGGGGATTTTGATGGGGACCTGGATGTTAGGAAGGGACACTGATGTGGACCCAGATGGGGGGGGATTCTGATGGGGACCTAGATGTTGGGGGGGGACTCTGATGGGGACCCGGATGGAAGGGGGGCTCTGATGGGGACCCGGATGGAAGGGGGGCTCTGATGGGGACCCGGATGGAAGGGGGGCCCCAGATGGAAAGGGGGACTCTGGAACCCAGATGTAGGGGGGCTCTAATGGGGACCCAGATGTTAGGGGGGACTATGATTGGGAAACTGGATGTGTGGGGGGACTCCAATGGGGCTCTGATGTAAGAAGGGATTCCGATGGGGACTTCAGTGTAAGAGGGACTTTGATGGGAACTCTGATAGGCTCAAGTTTTTTTTTTTGCTTTGTTATATACAGAAAAATGTTTTCTGTTGTGAATCATACCATGCCGAATATAGAAAAAACTCCAAGTAAAACGTCTATTTATTTTGTTCATTTATAAAACTGTTTTTTTTGGGCCATGAACATTCTACAATATGACCTTCTGATGGAAAGGTTTGGAGATGCCTTGTATAGTGTAAGGGTTGAAATTGCTCTTAGAATTCGTTTACATCTGTGTTACCCCTCTGAAGATCGTTCTGCAGTGAATCGCTTTTCAGAAGGCATTTGTCGGGCAATGGCCAAAAACTATGCTGATTGGGTGTTCTGCCAACTTGCTGCATGTTTGTCTGGGGTTGGTGGCTCTGAAAACATTCAGCCTACAGACAGCCAGGAAAATGGCAGTTCCTGCAGGCGGTCAGCACTCTCTCACAGCCTTCATCATTCATTTATGTCAGACGTATTTCATCCCAGAGAGCTAGACAGTCCGAAATGTTACCTAATCATGCCCTTCTCTGTTGTTTTCACAGGGGGCGCTGCGATGCGGGCGGGTGTACAGGAAGGTGACCGCATTGTGAAGGTAAGGGGCCGGGCATTCCTCCTCCTTTCTTGGCGCAGGCTGGGGCCCAGCGTCAGCAGAGTAGGGAATTCGTTCCATTAGTCCATGCACACCAATAGTGCGGACACTGCAGATGGTGGGAAACCAGGACCCCGACACTCCATGCAAGGATAATGATTGTGTCTGAACCCAACAACAAAAATATCATATATTGCAGCTTACCTGTCCTAAGGTGTGGAGGTTGCATTAGTTTTCTTTTTTAAAGTGAAGTTCTGCAAGTACAGAAAATACAGTCACTGTTAGAAATTAGAAGCTCTATTGTAAGTTAAAAGGTGAACAGAAATCTCAATGTTGTTAGCTTTCCCAGCTATCTGAGCAATATACAACCCCCCTCTGTTATAGAATGACACTGGGGGAGGGGGATTGTAGTTCAGATTAGAACAGCCTGGGTTGGTAACACTGCTTCTTCACTGATATAGTATAGTTAGTGATTATTGTCACTAACCACACTGAGAGCCCAGTACAATGTAGAGTCTCCAAAGTGTGGCCCATGGGATGTATCCCTCCCACTGACACCAATGATGGGGGACTAATCCTCCCACTGACACCAATGGTGAGGCACTATTCCTTCCACTGACACGAATGATGGGGCACGATTCTTCCCACTGACACCAATGATGGGGCACTATTCCTCCCACTGATACCAATGATGGGGCACTATTCCTCCCACTGATACCAATGATGGGGCACTATTCCTCCCACTGATACCAATGATGGGGCACTATTCCTCCCACTGACACCAATGATGGGGCACTATTCCTCCCACTGACACCAATGATGGGGCACTATTCCTCCCACTGATACCAGTGATGGGACACTATTCCTCCCACTGATACCAATGATGGGGCCCTATTCCTCCCACTGATACCAATGATGGGGCACTATTCCTCCTACTGATACCAATGATGGGGCACTATTCCTCCCACTGACACCAATGATGGGAACTATTCCTCCCACTGATACCAATGATGGGGCACCATTCCTCCCACTGACACCAATAATGGGAACTATTCCTCCCACTGATACCAATGATGGGGCACTATTCCTCCCACTGATACCAATGATGGGGCACTATTCCTCCCACTGATACAAATGATGGGGCACTATTCCTCCCACCGACAACAATGACGGGGCACTATTCCTCCCACTGATACCAATGATGGGGCACTATTCCTCCCACTGATACCAATGATGGGGCACTATTCCTCCCACTGATACCAATGATGGGGCACTATTCCTCCCACTGATACCAATGATATGGCACTATTCCTCCCACTGACACCAATGATGGGGCACTATTCCTCCCACTGACACCAATGATGGGGCACTATTCCTCCCACTGATACCAATGATGGGGCACTATTCCTCCCACTGACACCAATGATGGGGCACTATTCCTCCCACTGATACCAATGATGGGGCACTATTCCTCCCACTGACACCAATGATGGGGCACTATTCCTCCCACTGATACCAATGATGGGGCACTATTCCTCCCACTGACACCAATGATGGGGCACTATTCCTCCCACTGACACCAATGATGGGGCACTATTCCTCCCACTGACACCAATGATGGGGCACTATTCCTCCCACTGATACCAATGATGGGGCACTATTCCTCCCACTGACACCAATGATGGGGCACTATTCCTCCCACTGACACCAATGATGGGGCACTATTCCTCCCACTGATACCAATGATGGGGCACTATTCCTCCCACTGACACCAATGATGGGGCACTATTCCTCCCACGGACACCAATGATGGGGCACTATTCCTCCCACGGACACCAATGATGGGGCACTATTCCTCCCACTGACACCAATGATGGGGAACTATTCCTCCCACTGACACCAATGATGGGGCACTATTCCTCCCACTGACACCAATGATGGGGCACTATTCCTCCCACTGACACCAATGATGGGGCACTATTCCCATTGATGATGGGGCATTTTCTATTCCCACTGGCCACAGTTTGGCCCCCTTAAAGTGTGAAGAACAGTAAACTGGCCCTCTTTGGAAATTTTGGAGAGCCCTGTTCTAGAGAATGTGATAATGACTAAATCAAGAACTTATCCTTAGACAGATGCTGCAGCTCCCTCCTGTGAAGGCCAGTCCCTAAAAAAATAGAAAATTAAAATCTTCTCATTTAGCAGTTTTTGTCACTTTTTTCCCCACAGGTAAATGGCACTTTGGTGGCAAACAGCTCTCACATCGAGGTGGTCAAACTCATTAAGTGTAAGTATTATTTAAAATAATGCGTAAACCAATCTATAAAAAAGAAATATATATATATATATATATATATATATATCTGTCACCTATAATTACCGCACAAACGGTTGGCAAGATATAAATCCTGTATAATAATATTCATAATGATAAAAAATATTAGTGTTGACTGATACTCTGCAGTAATTGCCCTAACATTTTATTAAATAATGAATGATAATTAATGCTGCCATTGCTGGAAAATCAGGAATATGGTATTAGTAGATTTCTTTTTTTTTTTTTTTTTTTTTTGCAATTGCCTTTCTTAGACTGCAACCAATCAGCTGCATTAGAGCTCTATTGTGTCCAAACTCAAATGACAATATTCGAGCCCAATTCTACTTTTATGGTTTAATCTTAGCATTTCTTTTCATTTACGAGAATATAAAGTTTCTACCCTAAATTTATATTAATCTATGGACCAAATTTCATATGGGTTATTAATGTATTTTTGTCCAAAACCCATCACCTTATATTAATAATTTGGCAACTGCATTTTTAAAGACATACTGATTTTTATATTTCCTTTTTTTTTATATATACTGTATGTACTGGAAGTTTTAATTATTTTTTTAACATTGATTATTTTTAATATATTATTACTGCCATCCTTGTTCAATATTGTTATTACACAAAAATAATTTATTATGATAACTATTATTAATGTCATTATCAATAATAAAAATATTATGATAATTATGTCACTATGATCCTCCATTTTTATCATTAATTTTAATATTTTTTTACTTTTATTTTGCCCTTGTTGGTATTTTACTTTGTTCCCTTTGTTTTTTAGAATCATTTTTTTAACATTGCTTATTTTTGTTATATTAGTACTCCCATCATTGTTCAATATTGTTGTTTTCATCATCATTATTATTATTATTAATAATAATAATAATAATATTAATAATAGCAACAACAACATTGCTTCTCATTTTTATTACCAATATTATTCATTTAATATCTTTTCACTTTTATTTTGCCCTTGTTTGGTTTTTTGCCTTGTTCCCTAGTTTTCTTGAGAATTATTTTTTTAACATTGATTATTTTTGTTATATTAGTACTCCCATCATTGTTCAATATTGTTGTTGTTTTTTTTTTAATTATTATTAACAATAATATGATAACAACAACAGCAACAACAACATTGCTTCTCATTTTTATTACCAATATTATTATTAATTTAATATTTTTTCTCTTTTATTTTGCCCTTGGTTTTTTGCCTTGTTCCCTAGTTTTCTTGAATAATTTTTTTTAACATTGATTTTTTTGTTATATTAGTACTCCCATCATTGTTCAATATTGTTTGTTTTTTTATTATTATTATTATTATTATTATTATTGTTATTAATAATAACAGCAACAACAACATTGCTTCTCATTTTTATTACCAATATTATTATTAGTTTAATATTTTTTCACTTTTATTTTGCCCTTGTTGGTTTTTTGCCTTGTTCCCTAGTTTTCTTGAGAATAATTTTTTTAACATTGATTTGTTTGATATATTAGTACTCCCATCATTGTTCAATATTGTTGGTTTTTTATTATTATTGTTATTAATAATAACAGCAACAACAACATTGCTTCTCATTATTATTATTAATTTAATATTTTTTCACTTTTATTTTGCCCTTGTTGGTTTTTTTGCCTTGTTCCCTAGTTTGCTTGATAATTATATTTTTTAACATTGATTATTTTTGTTATATTAGTACTGCCATCGTTGTTTTTTTTTTTTTTTTAATTATTGTTATTAATAACAATATTAATAATAACAGCAACAACATTGCTTCTCATTTTTATTACCAATATTATTAATTTAATACTTTTCACTTTTATTTTGCCCTTGTTTGGTTTTTTGCCTTGTTCCCTAGTTTTCTTGAGAATTATTTTTTTAACATTGATTATTTTTGTTATATTAGTACTCGCATCATTGTTCAATATTGTTGTTGTTTTTTTTAAATTATTATTAACAATAATATGATAACAACAACAGCAACAACAACATTGCTTCTCATTTTTATTACCAATATTATTATTAATTTAATATTTTTTCTCTTTTATTTTGCCCTTGGTTTTTTTGCCTTGTTCCCTAGTTTTCTTGAGAATAATTTTTTTTAACATTGATTTTTTTGTTATATTAGTACTCCCATCATTGTTCAATATTGTTTTGTTTTTTATTATTATTATTATTATTGTTATTAATAATAACAGCAACAACAACATTGCTTCTCATTATTATTATTATTAATTTAATATTTTTTCACTTTTATTTTGCCCTTGTTGGTTTTTTTTTGCCTTGTTCCCTAGTTTGCTTGATAATTATATTTTTAACATTGATTATTTTTGTTATATTAGTACTGCCATCGTTGTTTTTTTTTTTTTTTTTAATTATTGTTATTAATAACAATATTAATAATAACAGCAACAACATTGCTTCTCATTTTTATTACCAATATTATTAATTTAATACTTTTCACTTTTATTTTGCCCTTGTTGTTTTTTCCCTAGTTTTTTCAATAATCACGTGTTACAATCATGTACATAATTGTATACAGTTGCATTTTAGCCCTGACTAAGGGGGCTAAGCAGCAGCCCCTGATATGAGTTGGCTTTGTAAGGTCATTGGAATAACCATATATCTGAACGTAAAAATCATGGCGTGGGGGTTCAGTTCTAGAGTCACTTATGAAGTATAGTCAGAATTGACTAAGACCCTGGAGAAATTGACTTTTTGAAAAAAAATGTTGCCATTGTTTAGTAATTGACAGATATCACTGGGTTTGGCACTTTTACTTGGTATCTCTGGTACTTTCTAAGGCCACATTCACACCTATGTGTTCTAGAGACATGGACTAAAATGCGAGTTTCTGTCTGTGTTTTCGGAAACACGCTAAAAACATGGCAAAGTATGCTTGAGGCGCCATTATTTTTGAATGGCACCCTAAACATGGGTAGCAGTTTCGCATTTTGTCACATTGCAAAACACACTTGGTTCATTGTTATAAAACGATACTTGAGCTACTTTGGCATGTGTAGGAAAGACCATTCAAGTGAAATTTCAATTAAAAAAAAAAGGCACGTCCGGATTTGAGCCCTATCATGCTTCACAGTTTACGAACCTGGGATTCTGTAAAATATTCGGGTAATTTGATTTCATCATTTCTACCTCTTTTGCCGATTACGCACAATCCTTTATTTCCGCCAGGCCTAGAACATCCCCCTTCTTTCTCTTGGTGGACATCCCATGACTTTGTTATTGCACATGATTTTCTGAGCGCTCATACGTTTCCATCAAGGGAGTCTCTTCGAGAATCAAGGGGGGTCCCGCCATGGGAATATTATCAGTATTTGCAATTGCGCCCCTGGGTCCTATCCCTCCGTCGTACCTCTACATACCCTTACCGTAAAACCCCTTTGAGCACGTTTTTCAGCATTCCCCAGGGTCCCCTGGTCTAATTTCTGTAATTTATGCCTCCCTTAAGAGTAGGTCCTCCTCACCCCCCTGTCTTATGTCTCTCAATGGGAGCGAGATCTGGGTGTCTCGATTGCGGTGGAGGATTGGCGTAGGGCCTGGGAGATGGTGGCGAAATGTTCATTCAATACAGTCACTCTTGAGGCAGCCTACAACGTTCTCCTGCGGTGGTACTGGGTTCCGGCTTGGACTGCGCACTTTAATCCGACTGGTGGAGATAGATGTTTCCGGAACTGTGGTCTACGCGGGGACGTCTTGCACATTTGGTGGTTGTGCCCACGATTGATAGGCTTCTGGTCTAGGGTTTTTGGTTTGCTACAAATGCTATTTCATATTACGGTCCGTAGGGATGCAAGGGTGGCCCTCGTGCATTGCCCAATTTTGGGTCTGTCTAGGTCTCAGCAGAAATTGGCATCCTACCTATTTATTTCGGCCAAACGTGCTATAGCTCAAGCTTGGAGAACCCCTTCGGTTGTCTTCCAGGGGGTGAAGACCCGGATGAATGCTATGTTGATCAATGAACACATGTCTAGCATTCTTCATGATTCTCATCCGAGATTCCTTAAGGTTTGGGAACCTTGGATACGTTATTCCTTGCCATCCCTGCCTCCTACTAGTTATGGCCTCTTATAGCAGCTGCCTGTGCTAGCCCTGGTTCCATGATTCTTCTTGTTTCCCTTTCCTCCGTGTTTTCTTTCTGATTCCCCTTTTTTTTTGTCGTTTTATTTTCTTTCTCCTTTATTCTAACCTTTTTTCTTTCCTCTTCTTTTTCCGGTAATATGTTGGATTACTGCTGCTATTATCTGGTTCGGCTTTTTGCTGTTCATCCTTGATGTCATTGGACATTTCGTTATTTGACTAATACAAGTCAGCAGGATGTATCTGTTTATGTGTTGTTGTTCTGCTCTGCCCCTGCGTGGGCGTATCTTGAGCTTGTTTTATTCCTAAAAAATTTTTTTATAAAAATATTGAAACAGAAAAAAAAGGCTCGTCAAGCAAATGTGAAAGGGACTGCGACCAATTGCTGCATCAGAGCTCCATTCTGTATGAACTCAAATGACGATAATAACTTTCCCTGATCTGTAGCACGGTCCCGATGTGCACAGACAGTAATGCAAATATTTTCAGAAGTTCCCAGCCTTCCCCACTCTATTAAAAACCTTTCCCTTGCTGCTAAATGTGTTTTTCTCTTGTCTCCCCAATGAAGAGATTTCCCATCACGTCTTGCCCTGTTAGGAGGTTGGAATTGTTTTTGAATCTGAAATCAAAGCATCACACTGAAATATCTGAGTTCAAAGCAATGTTTTATTCCAAACATTGCGTATGAGTCGACGCGTTTCAGGGGCCAATCATCGCCCCTCCTTTTTCAAGGCTACAAAATGAAAATACAAATCGTCATTTGGCACGAATAAATATATATGTCACGTTCATGTATTTTTTATACATATACAGTTGTGCTCAAAAGTTTGCATAAAATATGGCTGACCATGCCAAAAAATGCTCTTTTATTGAAGGATGATGATCATATGAAGCCATTTATTATCAAATAGTTGTTTGGCTCCTTTTTAAATCATAATGATAACAGAAATTACCCAAAATGACCCGGATCAAAAGTTTCCCTCCCCTGGAATGTTCGGCTGTCAGGGATCCCCGCGGCGCTGGTCCCGGCGCAGGCGCAGTGCGCCGCCCTGTGCAGGGACACGGGCACTAGGTCCTGGCCAGCCGCGGCGTTCGGGTTCGCGCATGCGCAGTAGAAGCCGCGGGCGCGCGCTTGGCACCAATGACAGCGCAGGGCGCGATATTTAAACGGCCCTGAGCTGTCATTCAGTGCCTTCTGGTCTCTCCTATATCCCTGAACCTGCGAACCTGTGCCCTGTAAGTTACTGACCCGGATTGTACCTGACCTTGCTGCTGTATTCTCCTACTCTGACCCTTGGCTTGCCTGACCTCTCTCCTGGATGCCCCTATTAGATCTGACCATCTAGTGCTGACCTGGCGTGTGACCCGACTAATCTCTGCCTGCTGCTTTGTACCGCACTGTCCCCACCGTTACCGACCCGGCTTGTCTGACCTCGCATGTGCTCAGCCATCCATCCATCTCAAGGGGGTCACCCGACCTCCTCATATCAGGCTCTTCCCCGTGGGAGCCCCTGGCGACTACCCCTACCACTGACAGGTATACTCAGTAGCCACGACCTGGTCTCAGGGTACTCCAAGTCCATCCCCACCATCAGGGCCCTGGTGAACAAGTACTCTGGGGCTTAGATTCCATGCTCTGGGGACGCCTGATCAGTGGAGTGCTAGTGGTACCCCGCCGGGCGGTCCCTTACATCGGCGTTGGTGCAGACACAGAAGGTGACACAGACACAGAAGGTGACACACACACACGTGTTAAAATGCCAATTAGAGGTTAATGTCCCACATCTGTGGCTTTTTATATTGCAATTAGTGTCCTTTTCCATCTTTATAAAGTTCCATTACCTTGTTATGCAGGACTTTTGACAGTTCTTTTCTGATCCCCATGGCACAGTATTTAGCCTAGTCAGTGCTTCCACGTAAGAGCTAACAAACTCATTGACTATTTATACACTGACACTAATTGCAATTTAAAAAGCCACAGATGTGGGGCATTAACCTCTAATTGGCATTTTAACCCGTGTGTGTCACCTTGTGTGTCTGTACCAAGGCCGAACATTCCAGGGGAGGGAAACTTCTGATCCGGGCCATTTGGGTGATTTCTGTTATCATTATGATTTAAAAAAGAGCCAAATAACTATTTGATAATAAATGGCTTCATATGATCATCATCCTTCAATAAAGGAACATTTTTTGGCATGCTCAGTCATATTTTCAATATCAATGCCAAAATTTCACAATTTCTGCCGGGGTATGTAAACTTTTGAGCACAACTGTATATACACAGTTGAAAGTAAACCCCCCAACAAGTCACAGATGGCAAAAAAAAAAAAATAAAAAACTGATCAAGGCGCTAACCCTTCCCCACCCTATCCAAACTTTTTTACAAGGTTTTGGCTGGATCTGGACGTAAAACGAACTAAACCTATTGATTTTACTATTTCCAAAAACCGTTACATTGAAGGCATGCCGTAATTGATACCTGAAAGAGTTGGTTGTGCTGTCAACCAAACTGTCAAGCCATCAAATGGCTGGTGTCACAGCTGATCCCATGCAGCACCATGGCAACTGCCGATCGAGCAGAGGCGAAGATGGCAGCCTCCTTGGCTGTAAAGGAGCAGAGAGTTTAGTTCCATTTTAAATCTGAACTGAGCCTGACCTGGAAGCAATGGTATTTTACCAATTTATGAAATGTTGGATAGCCAAGCATTCTTTTGTTGCCATAAGCCGGCCATAAATGGATCGAATCTTGGTCAGTTCAGCAGGGACCATCTGAGATTCGATCCACCTATGGGTAGGCTGATTGTACTGAAGTCAATCCACTGATGGACTTTTTTCATCACTGCCATAGATGGATCGAATCTTGGTCAGTTCAGCAGGGACCATCTGAGATTCGATCCACCTATGGGTAGGCTGATTGTACTGAAGTCAATCCACTGATGGACTTTTTTCATCACTGCCATAGATGGAACGAATCTTGGTCTGTTCAGCAGGGACCATCTGAGATTCAATCCACCTATGGGCAGGCTGGTTGTACTGAAGTCAATCCACTGATGGACTTTTTTCATCACTGCCATAGATGGAACGAATCTTGGTCTGTTCAGCAGGGACCAGCTGAGATTCGATCCACCTATGGGCAGGCTGGTTGTACTGTCCACTGATTGACTTTTTTCATCACTGCCATAGATGGAACGAATCTTGGTCTGTTCAGCAGGGACCAGCTGAGATTCGATCCACCTATGGGCAGGCTGGTTGTACTGAAGTCAATCCACTGATTGACTTTTTTCATCACTGCCATAGATGGATCGAATCTTGGTCAGTTCAGCAGGGACCATCTGAGATTCAATCCACCTATGGGCAGGCTGGTTGTACTGAAGTCAATCCACTGATGGACTTTTTTTCATCACTGCTGGTGGCTAAAGCTGCTAACGGTGATCATTGCGTTCACGATGACTATGTTGATGGGGGAATCAAGCAACTTTCTTTCCTTCCACCCTATAGCAGTGGTCTCCAAACTGTGGCTTGGGGGCCAGATCCAGCCCTTTGCTTGCTTTTATCTGGCCCTTGGGGTGCTATTCATCCACTGAGGTCAACAAAAGGACATAATTCCCTGCACTGACCCCAATGAAGAGACATTGTTTTTTCCCACTGAAGTCTGGACCTTTTCTACTCCCAGTGGCCACAGTGTGGACCCCTGAAATCTGAAGGACAGTAAACTGGCGCTTTGTCCAGGCCAATTTTCAGCTTTCAGTGCTATCACACTTTGAATGACAATTGCGCGGTCATGCAACACTGTACCCATATGAATTTTTTAGCATTTTTTTTTTAGACAGATAAAGCTTTATTTTGGTGGTATTTATTCACCGGTGGGATTTTAATTTTTGTTTGCTATGTAAATGAAAAAGTCCAAAACTTTTGAAAAAAAGAGTTTGTCTTATAAAATTTTGCAAATAAATAATATTTCATCATAAATCTTGGCCAAAATTTATTCCGTTATCTTTGTAGTAAAAAAAAAGTAACCCAAATTAATTTATAATCAAAAATTATAATTTTTAAATTTTTTTTACAATTTTAGTTTATTTTTTTTATATTATTTTTTTTTTCTTTTACATACTGTCACCCTAGCAGTACAGTGTCACCATAGTGACACTGTACTACTTGTGGGGGGTGATGAAGATTTTTTTTTTTCTTTTTACACTGATTGCTTTTACACCATAAGGGCTGCAAAAGCAATAATTTCTCCTTCTCTCTTGCAGCCAGTGAGAACTACTGTGTGAGCTGTGATTGGTCACAGCTTGTCACATGGTACAAGGCAGTTGTGAATAGCCCTGTGCCATGTGACCTCTGTGATCATTCACAGATTTCACACTTAGTAAGCAATGATGTCAGGAAGTGACATCTTGCTTACTACTCTGCATGTGAACACTGATTGGCCAATCAGTGATCACATGATTGGGACCTCGCACAGAGGTCCCGTGCGACGATCGGTGTTCCACTGTGTCCAGAGGACACAGCGGCACCGGATCGCGGTGCTGCGTGCTCCCAGGGAGTGCGCACAAGCAGGGGGCGGGGAGGCCGTTTATAAACGGCCACCCACCCCTGGCCTGCCACCGTCCAGCCGTTTATATACATGGGCCAGACGGGAAGTGGTTAAAAAAAAAAAAAGTTATAATCCTATACCCACAATTGATCCAGAGGAATGCAAAAAAAACAGCAAAAGCATGATCCAATTTGCTCCTGCAGGGAAAGAAATTCCTTCCTGATCCCCCGAGAGGCAATCGGATATTCTCTGGATCAACTTTACCTATAAATGTTAGTATCCAGTTATATTTTGTGTATCCAAGAAGGAATCCAGGACTTTGTTGAAACCGCAGGTTTACCGTCCAGTCCCACTGCCGCCATTCTGCTAAACTCTATGGGAGGCTGAGAGATGTTGGATGGGGCTGGATGGTGCACCAAATGCTACTAACGTTTATGGCAGTATGAGCCCAAAGCCTGGAACGCAAGCCATCTGGGCATTCTTCCCTGAGCACATACTGTCCTAAGCGTTAATGGCACTCGGTGCTTTGTTCGCCTGCAGCAGCTGTCAGCTTTCATAGCGATTTTGCAGGCCGCCAGCAGTGGGGGTAGAAGGTACACCTATGCCTACTGCCTGCACCTAAATTCTGGAGCCTCATCCATCGGGCCTAAATGCCCAGTTGGCTGAGTGTTTCAAAAACTTTTTTTTTTACTAACTTGTAATCTTGTATGGGTAGATCCTCTTTTCCTTGTTACTTATCAGTGGAGCCACCCGCCACATTCACCAGGCAATAGTTGAACATATGGCAGGGTGGCCTCCTCCAAGGTTAAGTCAGTATTTGTATATTAGGGTTTCAGGTTCCCAAGACATCCTTGGGAAAAAATTGAAGATGCTAATGTTTCAATATTTCCAGAAAGCTGAAGAATTTTCTAGCTTTCTTAGAAAAAGGAAAAAAGGCTTATGAGCAGAACTGTGTAGGCCGTGAGGTCATAAATTATTTTGTTTTTGATGGAGCTGGTAACAAAACATAGAACTTTTTTTGGTCATACTCCAACAACTATCTAGCCTTTGAAATTTTGCCCTTGCTGTTTACATATCCATTTTCTTTCTTTTAAACCAGCCGGGACCTACGTTGCACTCACACTGCTGGGTTCCCCTCCGCCTTCCATGGCGACATCCGGTTATCAACATGACCACAGCTCCTCTGCATCTCCTCGGAACACCTGGTCTTCTCCTGTCCCGCCTCCTCCCCCTCTTCCCCCGCCCCAGAGGATCACAGGGCCTAAACCACTACAGGTAATGATGATGGAGCCTTGAGCTGACTTTGTGGATTCATTGCTTATTTTTCTGGAAATTTATTAGCTGTATATTGTTGCTGCAGGATCCTGAGGTCCAGAAACATGCCACTCAAATCCTGCGCAATATGCTGAAACAAGAGGAGTCAGAACTACAGGTAGGTGGTAAAATTTTGTCCAAAGGGTACTGTTTAATTACATCCAATAATTATTATACTTCTTTCCATTGCAATGGTAGAGCAGGTAATATTTTATCTTTTTTATTTATTTCACCATTGGGTGGAGACTATTTTAAATTTTTGTACATGCTTGTGCATTTGTGTAATATGTGAATCAATAAAGGTTTTTTGTGTCGTTAAAACTACCTGGGTCACATGGGAGTACCCTCTTTTCTATGGGGGTTCTTCTCCATATGTCTTTTTATCTAATGTCTTTTGGGTACTGTGATCCGCACCTTGATTTTTGGTGAGTTCGTTAACACAATAATATTTAATTCCCCTGTGTGGCGTTACAGTGGTTTCCTCTGTATTGCCCCCTTTTTTCTTTTATGTTTCATTAGTGCTTTTCATATATATTGTGCATTCACATCAGTCCCTAACCCTCAAGGGGCGTACAATCTGAGGTCCCTAACTTACATTCATACATACACATACTGTACTAAGGTCAATTTAGACAGCCTACCGGCATGTCTTTGGAGTGTGGGAGGAAACCAGAGTAGCTTCAGGAAACCCACACAGGCACAGGGAGAACATGCAAACTCCAGGCAGGTGGTGCCATGGTTGGGATTTGAACCAACGACCTGTTTACTGCCAGGCAGAAGTGCTAACCATTTAGCCACTGTGCTGCCCATGTATATAACCCAAGTACCTGACACATTAACTCCTTGTCGCCGATCGCACGCAGATATGCGGCCTCTTGGTGTCTGGGCCTTGACGCCATGCGGCTGCATATTTGTGTGCAATTAGAAAATACATATGTGCTGAGAGAGAGAGTGCTGTGCATGCTCCCAGCACATATGTCCGTGACTCCCGGATGGTCCCGATCTCCCCTTTCGATCGGGACCTTTTCCGATCATGTGACCACCGTGACGGCGAATCATGACGATCACATGACCCTAAAACCCTGCCCTGCCTCCTGGCTTCTGAAACTCTTAAAGGGCCAGGAGGCACTAGCGCCAAGATGTTAAAAGCTATTGTCTCCACTAGGCCTAGTTCAGACCGGCTTTAAAAAGGGGCAGGTGCATTTTTACCACTAAACACAAAGCCGGCCCCGCCCGCGAGCCGACAGCCCCCCCACACCGCCGCCAGCGCAACACAACCACCAGAGACCCCGCCCTCCCCCGCCGGGTTGTCTCCCTTTTCTCTTTCCCTCCCCCCCCCTCCCCCTACCCTCCCCCCCCTCCCCCGCACTCCCCCCCTCCTCTCCCCCCCTCCTCTCCTTCCCTCCCCCCCCCTCCTTCCCCCCCCTTTTCCCCTCCCCCCCCCCCCCTCTCTTCTCCCCCCTCTTTTCCCCCTTTCCCCCCCCCCCCCCTCTCCCCCCTCTTCTCCTCCCCCCCCCCCCCCCCCCCCCCCCCCTTCCCCCTTCCCCCTCACTCCCCCCTTTCTCCCTCCCACCCCCCCTCTCACCTCACCCCTCCCTATCCTTCCCCCTCCTACTTCCCCCCCTCCCCCCTCCCCTCATTTCCCTCTCCCCCCTCCTTCTTCCCCTTTTTTCCCCCCTCCTTCTCCCCCCTCCCCCTCCCCCTCCCTCCTCCCATTCCCCCCTCCCCCCCCCCCTTCCCCTTCTCCTCCTCCCCCCCCTCCTCCCCCTCTTTTCTCTTCCCCCCCCTCCCTCCCCCCCTCCCCCCCCCCCCCTCCCCACCCCCCAACCTCCCCCCTTCCCTTCCCCCCCTGACCGCCCAAAGAAAGTCTAAGTCAGCCGGAGGGAGTTGTACATATGCAAAACATCGCACCCGTGGCAAAATGAACCCCATTTGCCTAAGTGATGGGCGGCAACACCTGTTAAACTCGATCATTGAAGTCAATAAGAATGTGCCACAAATGGGAAATATATTAATTCTGAAGACAGCAGTATCACTTTCTGATCACCTGGAAATGGCCGTTCTACCACTTTTCACTGCTTATAGCTTTTGTTTTATTTTGCTTTTTATTAAATGACTTTCTTTATTCTGCAGACTCTGTGTGAAGTTTATAACAGAACCCCAAATCCCAGCCTACAGGAGCAGATAGAAGGGGCCAGAAGGAGAGTCTACCAACTGCAGCTAAAGATTCGCCAAGAAACGGCGGGGCCCGGAGTAAGTGCAAGCTGCTGACCTAGATTGCAGGTCCACCACTGTCTGGGAAATTACTCATGTTATCCCGGAAACTTTACAGGATGCTGTCAGAAAGCTTGTGTGTGTGTATATATATATATATATATATATAAAAATCTACATACATGTGTACCTCGGTTTACCAATTCTCTCGGTTAATGTAATTTTCAGTTTACGAATGAAAATCCATTAAAAATAATGCCTCAGTTTACAAAATTTTTACGAATTTTTTTCGCAATATGAAGTGTATGTTGGTGCCGATTTTAAATGCAATTGCCGTCTTTTTTTTTTTCTTCACTATAGAGTTCCCCAGAGTTACAGGAAACTTTGTTTCTTTTAAGAAACTAAAAGGAAACATTGTTTCTTTTAACTTGAGGAAATAAACTAAAAGAAAACTTTTCTTTCTTTTAGCTGGGGGGAAAGAGCTGAATTTCTGAGTTCTAGTCAAGGAAATAAAAAAAAAGTAATTACATTTAAAAAACGGCACCATAATAAATAAAATAAATGGCGTGGGGTCCCCCCTCCTATCCATACCAAGCCCTTCAGTTCGGTCTGGTATGGATTTTGAGGGGAACTCCCACGCCAAAATTTAAATAAAAAATGGCTTGGGGGTCCCCCCCAAAATCCATACCAGACCGTTATCTGTTTTTTTAATTATTTTTTTAATTGCCAGCAATTCTTATACATTCAGATGTCAGTGGGGAACCCCGCTGACAGCTAAAACATTAACACATGGTTGTCACTACTAAAATACCGCATGATTTAATAAAATAACTCAAGCGGTATTTTAGTAGCATTTACTTTTTTCTGACCTCTGGAACGGATTGATTGGTTTTCAATGCATTCCTATGGGAAACAGCGTTCGGTTTACAAATTTTTTGCTATGCGAAAAGTCCCGCAGAATGAATTAAATTCGTAAACCGAGGTATTACTGTGTGTGTGTGTGTATAGATAGATATAGCACGGATCAGCCATAACATTACGACCACCCACCATAACCTGTCAAAGCATGGACTCCACTAGACCTCAGAAGGTATGCTGTAGTATCTGGTACCCAGGCCGCCAGTAGCAGATCCTTTAAATCACAGGTTTCAAACTGGCGGCCCTCCAGCTGTTGTCAAACTACAAGTCACATGAAGCGTTGCAAGATTGACAGTTACAAGTATGACTCCCAAAGGCTGTCAGGAATCTAGGAATGACCAGAAAGGTGTGGACTGACACAGGGAAACACAGCTTTCAGGTATAGTATAATAATACAGTTTATTATTAGCCACCCAGAGATATATAAACGCACAGTGAGCAAACCAACCTTCCACTAATCTTAGGAGGTGCAGGAATACAGGCGTAGTCAGGGCTGGAGAGGTGGAACGGTCAGGCTGGCCGTAGGGTTCTGTAATGACCGTTTGGTGGTACCTCTAGTGGTCCCCAGGACAGGATTCCCCAGGGCGCGGAGTCTAAGTCCCAGTCTGCTTATTCACCAGGGCCCCTGATGGTGGGGATGGACTTGGAGCAGACAGGAACCAGGTCGCGGCCCCTGAGTACACCTGCTAGTGGTAGAGGGATCCGCCTGAGGTATGTACAGGTACGGCTGGATCTGAGCAGGATGGATGGATGGCAGAGTAGTTAACGTGGTCAGACGGGCCAAGTCAGCAACGTGCGTGCAGCAAGGTACCAAAGGAGCAGGCAGAGAATGGTCAAGGTCACAAGCCGGGTTCAGTAACTCACGGGCAGCGCGGTACAGGGGATCAGGCAGAAGGATGGTCAGGCAAGCCAGGGGTTCAACAGGAGACGGTCAGCAGAGGTCAGGATCAAGCCGGGTCAGCAACGAAGCAAGAACACAAGATACCAGGTACAGAGGCTCATGGGAAAACATACACCAAGGCCCAGATCACAGGCCTGGCCATGCCTTAAATACACCTTTCTGTAATCAGTCCCAGGTTTGGCTGATTGCAGAAGTGAGCTTCTGGCTGCTGAGAGCACCCGCTGGTCAGCTCTGGTACTGCAGCCCACACGGCAGGTGAGTCCCACCACCAGTGCTGAGTCCATTCCTGACAAAGGCAGAGGCATGATGGGACTTGTAGTTTTGCTACAGCTGGAGGGCCATCCGTTTGATACCCCTGCTTTAAGTCATGTATGTTGCGAAGTGGGGCCTCCAAGGATTGGACTTTCCTGCACATCCCACAGATACTCGATTGGATTGAGATCTGGAGGCCAAATTGTGTTCCACAAACCATTCTTGAATTTTCACATCAGGCCACATTCTTCCATTGCTCTGTGATCCAGTTCTGATGGTCATTGTAGTCGTTTTTGGCTGTGGACACGGGTCAGCATGGGCACCCTGACCGGTCTGCAGCTACACGGCCCCATACACAACAAACTGTGATACACTCTGTGATCTGACATCCTTCTATCAGAACCAACGTTAACTTTTCCAGAAATTTGAGCTATAGTAGCTCTATTATTGGATCCGACTACACAGGCCAGCCTTTGCTCCCCTCATGTACCAGTGAGCCTTGGCCGCCCATGGCCCTGTCTCTGGTTCACCAGCTCTCCTTCCTTGGACCACATTTAGTAGGATCTGACCACTGAACATTCCACAAAAGCTGCAGTTTTGGACTTGCTCTGACCCAGTCATCTAGCCATTACAATTTGGTCACTCAAATATTTACACTTGTTTAGTTTTTCTGCTTTCAACACATCAACTTTAGGGACAAAATGTTCACTTGCTGCCTAATATATCCCAATATATCCCACTCACTTTCAGATGTCATTATAACAAGATAATTCAATGTTGTTCACGTTACCTGTTAGTGGTCATAATGTTATGGCTGATTGGTGTGTGTGTGTGTGTGTGTGTGTGTGTGTATATATATACACACACACACATGAGGGGATATGATCCCCCCTTATGTATAATACATAAGGGGGGATATGATCTCCATGTATAATACATAAGGGGGATATGATCTCCATGTATAATACATAAGGGGGGATATGATCACCATGTATAATACATAAGGGGGATATGATCTCCATGTATAATACATAAGGGGGGATATGATCTCCATGTATAATACATAAGGGGGAATATGATCTCCATCTATAATACATAAGGGGGGATATGATCTCCATGTATAATACATAAGGGGGATATGATCTCCATGTATAATACATAAGGGGGATATGATCTCCATGTATAATACATAAGGGGGGGATATGATCTCCATGTATAATACATAAGGGGGGTATGATCACCATGTATAATACATAAGGGGGGATATGATCTCCATGTATAATACATAAGGGGGGTATGATCACCATGTATAATACATAAGGGGGGATATGATCACCATGTATAATACATAAGGGGGATATGATCTCCATGTATAATACATAAGGGGGGATATGATCTCCATGTATAATACATAAGGGGGGATATGATCTCCATGTATAATACATAAGGGGGGATATGATCATCATGTATAATACATAAGGGGGGATATGATCTCCATGTATAATACATAAGGGGGGATATGATCTCCATGTATAATACATAAGGGGAGATATGATCTCCATGTATAATACATAAGGGGGGAATATGATCTCCATGTATAATACATAAGGGGGGATATGATCTCCATGTATAAATACATCAGTGGTTCATATAGTGCACTCGGTATAGAGTTATTCACCCTGAGGTCATCACAGAGGACAAGGGGGCACTCGTTACGTCTGGAGGAAAAAAATTTAATCTCCAAATACGGAAAGGTTTCTTCACAGTGAGAGCTGTGAAAATGTGGAATAGACTCCCTCAAGATTTGGTTCTGGCCAGCTCAGTGGATTGCTTTAAAAAAGTCCTGGATTCTTTCTTGGATACACAGAATATAACTGGATATAACATTTATAGGTAAAGTTGATCCAGGGAATATTCGATTGCCTCTTGGGGGGATCAGGAAGGATTTTTTTTTTCCCCTGCAGGAGCAAATTGGATCATGCTTTGCTGGTTTTTTTTTGCCTTCCTCTAGACCAACTGTGGGTATAGGATTATGACATTTTTTTTTTTTTTTTTTTTTTTTTATGGTTGAACTGGATGGGCTTTTGTCTTTTCAGCCAGGGTAACTATGTATCCACACAGCAAATGTTTTGTACCTAGGCCTTTACCTTTTTAAAAAGCACGTGATATCACTCACCATATAACAAATGACTATTTTTCACGTGACAAATGCCATTTTTCAAGTATGAAGTGCTATGTATGCCATTTAGATTTATCTAGCATTTTTTTTTAAATATTCCTAATTTAAAATTTTTGAAAAAGCAATGTTTACAGTGAAACATAACAAAAATAATACTGCTTATATACATGACGGAACTTCACTGAAAGTTCGATTAAGACAGATCTTGTACACATAACAAAAGATATAGTAACAACATCTCACATGAAGGTTGGTTACGCATGTTAGAAATAATTAAACATTTGACAGGAAGCAAAAAAAAGAAAAATCCATGCAGGAATGGAAGCTCCAAGTTACTCTATTCTACAAACCCTGTAGTGGTATAGAGACAAACCGCAAAAATATCTAGTGTGAACATATGTGACCGAAGATAATGCCAAAATAGTTGGTATTTGGAATTTAATGTGCCAATCCTTGGTGAATCAAGCTTACGCATTGCAGAAATATTTCCATCATTTGTTTTAAAATATTTTTCTTTCTTTGACTTTTTAGGATATACTGCGTTCTTACAGCGACTGCAGCTCTGCAGGACACAGAGCACCAGAAAGTAAGTTCATTTTTGGCTCATTCTTTGTAAGGGATACAGTTTAGAGTCACAATATTTTTCTATTCAGGGAAAAGTTAAAGTTCCTCCTAAAGAGGCCACCCAACTAGTAAAGTATAATCAATCATTTGAGATCCCTCACCACCTCTGTGCTGCATCACTCTTAAAGCAGAGTTTCTCAATCAGGGTTTCTAGGGTTCCTTCAGAGGTTGCTAGGGGTTCTTTGAGCAACAAGCAATTAGTTCCTATAGACACCACTGATCTTCTAAGTTGTCTGTTAGTGGTAATTCTTCCCAATGACCACAAATGTAAGGAGTATTCTTCCCACTGACCATTACACTAGAGCATCATGAGAGCTCCCTTACCACCTCCATGCTCCATCACTCTTAAGGCAGGGTTTCTCAACTAGGGTTCCATGGAATCCAAGGGTTCCTTCAGAGGTTGCTGGAGATTCCTTGACTTCAAACTAATGTATCATGGGTTGTAGATATAGTCCTTTTCAGCAGGGGTTCCCTGAGATCAGAAAGTTATTTCAAGGGTTCTTCTGTGTGGAAAAAGGCTTAGATAGGCTGCTCTAGGGCCTTATTCACAAGGATACCATCTATCAGTATTGGGCCATGTGTTTATGCAGCTTGAGCTGCTTGGGGCCGCATGCAGGCAGCTTCTGTTAAAACCTATGGGAGTGCAGCAATTTCATTGACTTAGCCTCTGGTCCCAATGTGACAGGTGCATGTGAGTAGCTCTAAACGCACATTGTCTGCAATTAGGGTTGCTCACCCATCCCTGCTCATGTCACATCGATGAAATGGGCTGCGTACACCTAGCACTTGGCGGCTCAAGGTGCATAAACACATGGCCCATTGACCGACTCTGGGTATCGGTAACCATGTGAATGAGGCCTCTCAGGTTGGACCTTCTGGGTATAGGGGAACATGTAACCCCCCTTCCCTAACCCCCAGTGTTACATGGCTTGAGTGGCCAATCAACAGGCCTGACCACTGTCAGGTGGTGGACGCAGTTATGGTCACTTTATCCATTTATGGCAAAGTGACCATGTTTCCCAATAGCCCACTCCCTAGTAAGGTAAACTCTTCCTCACCCTATCACTTTATTGGAGTGGGCTTCTGGATACGGGAGAACATACGGGAGAACATGACAGCACTTGGACTTGAGCAGCAAATTGATCTGCAAATCAGCAGGCCTAATCACCATGGGGCCAAGGCAATGTTCCCAATGCACAAGTTCCTGAAAATAGCTGAAGCATGAATGGGTGCTGTAGCAACCACTGGCTGGAGACCAGAAGGACTTCAAGGTAAGAAACATGTCACCAGCACACCGGGGAACTCCATAAAAGGGTCCATACGCTTTATTTTTTGTCTGATCACCATGGGGGATACAGTCATGTCAATTACCTGGGTAAGCAGCAACCTTAGAGACTATGCAGGGTGGAAGCTTCCAGCATTGATTGGTTGGTATAACATTCCTGACTTGGGTAAGGGCTGTCAGGAGACACCATCAGAGCAGGAATCCATGTTCCTTTAATATAAATGTCATCAGAAAACAGGAATATTTATCATAATGACATTTATTTACTGTATTTCTTGTCTCTTTGTACATCCCGTGACAAAAGTCTGCTTCCTCTAGGCCGTCTTTCTGTGGATTCACAAGATGGTGACAGTGGCTTGGATTCTGGAACGGAAAGGATACCGTCTATTAGTGAGGTGTGGGGCAGATCAATCAGACTATTTGTTTTATTTTTAGTTTTTTATTTATAATTTTTTTAAATATTTTTAAATGCTGAACCCTAAAAATTAATTTTTTTTCAATACTTAGTAAATTGGCCCAGCTTGGCATGATATAAGTTTCCATATCTGATATCCAGAGGGCAATTGAGGATGCTGTAAATCACTTTAGTAGTCTACACTACATACAAGGATAGCCATGATCTTCTAGAGTCTATGTGGATGTCTTTTCCTTCACTTATTGATTACATTTGACTCATTTGACACCTCTGCCATTCAAATAAGTTGTATTTTTTTCTGTGAATACAAGGCATTTTGTGATTGGACTGGGGGGGAGGGGAGATTGCAACCTCACCACCCCTGCTCTTTTCCTCATCCAATCAGAGGACCTCTTTAATTCATTGAAAAAATACAAGGTTTTCTTTGAATGGTGTAGATGCTCCTCAAGAAAACCCCCTGTGATGAGTGTGCAGAGTGGAAGACGCCCGCACAGAACCCGGAAGATTGTTGCTATCATGATGACTTTGTTTAGGGTGACTGCTGTGTGGTTTCATTACTCAGGACCTTAAGATAAGTGGATTAATTTAGAGATTGAATGGAATTGAATGGACCTCATGTCAAATCACTTACAAACACATGCAGGCTCCACCTTCGGAACATCGCCAAAATACGCACCCTCCTTACCCCAGACACCACTAAACTACTCGTACACTCCCTGATTATCTCACGCCTCGACTACTGCAACTCCCTCCTCACCGGCCTACCCCAGTGCAGGCTCTCCCCGCTTCAGACCATCCTGAACTCAGCGGCTAGACTCATCCACTTCACCAACCACTCCACCTCTGCCACCCCCCTCTGCCTATCCCTCCACTGGCTCCCTATCGCCCAACGCATCAAATTCAAACTACTCACTCTGACCTACAAAGCCATTCACAACACTGCCCCTAACTACCTCACCAACCTGATTCCCAGGTATCACCCTACCCGTACCCTTCGCTCTTCACAGGACCTCCTTCTATCTTGCCCCCTGGTCTCCTCGTCCCACGCACGTCTGCAAGACTTCTCCAGGTCCCCCCCATCCTCTGGAACTCACTACCCCAATCTATCAGACTGTCACCTTCCCTCCTCACCTTCAGGCGCTCCCTGAAAACCCACCTCTTCAGGGAAGCCTACCCCACCCTCACCTAACTGCTGCTCTCCTTCATTCCTCCCCACCACTTCATCCCCCACAGCCACTTCCTCCTGTACCACTACCCCCTCCCTCCTAGATTGTAAGCTCAAAAGAGTAGGGCCCTCTAACCCCTCGTGTGCTGTTTGTAGTTGCTGTACTGTTTCATGCATTGTCCCCCCCTCTATTGTACAGCGCTGAGCAAACCCTTTGGTGCTATATAAACTCGATGTAATGTAATGTGGCATATCTATCACTTTTTGGTTATAATGACCATCTAGATTTCTCTGATCTTTGGTGAATGTTGTAATTCATTAATGTGGAACTCCAGCCATACTTTGTTAGTGTTGAAATAGAGTGGTGAAGGGTTAGAACCTCTGCCCAGTCTCTCTCACTCTCCCTTCTAGATTTTTATTTCTTTTATATTGCGGGGAATGTTACAGTAGGAGCTGGGGCAGACAGCGATGGGTGAGATCACCCAAAACTCCCACTTGGAGTCAGGTATTATGTCAAGGAGATCCTATTTTTGGAAGGTTCAAGGCACATAAGAAAGTAGCTCAGCACATCAGGCGGTACCTACCATATAACTAAAATATCACTTTTGGGTAGACCCACCCTATAAGGCTTTAAAAGCCAATACAATTTTAGCAGTCATACTTAAGCACAGATGGGAAAATCTTTGCTAACACCTGATTGGTTACTGTTTACCACCGTAACATTTGACTTCAAAATAGCCTAGAATTTGATAGCTGGTTCACTCCAGGTGAATATAGAAATTACAGTTGGATTCCTTTTAATCTGGTAATAGTCATGATATCATTTCTGCTCATATAATTACTTAATGTGTATGATGCTGTTGTTTCCACACCACCTGACAGCTAAGATCAGGCTTGTGTTGCTGTCTAAAATGATGGGTGAGTGTCACCAATGGGTCCCAAAGCAGGTGGAGGCTGGACATTGACAACTAGAGGTCTAAGAATTTTTAGATATAGTACATGGTGGGGGATTTACTAAAACTGGCACCCTCCGAATCTGGTGCAGCTGTGAATGGTAGCCAATCAGCTTCCAACTTCAGTTTGTTCAGTTAAAGTGGTTCTAAAGGCTCAAGGTCTTTTACCATCATGCATTCTATACATGAAGGTATAAAACCTGTGTGCAGCAGCTCCCCCCCCCCCCCCCCCCCACCAATAATCAACTAAGCCCCATCTCAATCCAGCAATGTGCACTGGAGTCTCGGCTATTCCTCACTGGCTGAGACAGAAGTGGGGAGCCATTGGCATGCAGTTTTAGTCAATAACCCCCATAGTGTTCTATATGGCTACATCTTTTGGATCCTGCAGTATTGCAGACTATGGGGTCTATTTACAAAACATCTGTTGCTCAAATCTCAGAAGCAGGGCTTTTTTCAGCAGGAACGCGGGGGAACACAATTCCGGCACCTCCAGTACTTGAATGTATGTAATGGCAAAGTGTGCTGGAAAGTCTATTGATGCTGGCTGCTGGGGGATCTATTGTCACTGGATGGGGATCTGTTACTGCATGGTGGTCTATTGTTGCTGTTGGGGGATCTATTGTTGCTGGAAGGGATCTCCTGTTGAGGGAGGGGTCTATTGTTGCTGGCTGCTGCTGAGAGATCTGTTGAGGTCTATTGTTGCTGAGGTGGTATTTTGTTGCTGGGGAGGGGGGGTTCTATTGCTGCTGGCTGCAGGGGATCTATTTTTACTGCTTGTTATTAACAAATTGCATATAAATTACAAAGCACCACAAAATGATACTTAGCTGTGTATTCTCTATAAAGAGCGGGACTGGGAGGTGGGTAGGGGTGGAACCAAGGGACTGTGCTTAGAGGTGGGTAGGGGTGGAACCAAGGGACTGCGCTTAGAGGTGGGTAGGGGTGGAACCAAGAGACTGCACTTAGAAGTGGAACCAAGGGGCTGTACTCAGAGGTGGGTAGGGGTTTGAACCAAGGGACTGTGCTCGGAGGTGGGTAAGGATGGAACCAAGGGACTGTGCTTATAGGTGGGTAGGGGTGGAACCAAGGGACTGTGCTCGGAGGTGGGTAGCGGTGGAACCAAGGGACTGTGCTAAGAGGAGGGTAGGGGTGGAACCAAAGGACTGTGCTCAGAGGTGGGTAGGGGGGGGGGGGGGAACCAAGAGACTGCACTTAGAAGTGGAACCAAGGGGCTGTACTCAGAGGTGGGTAGGGGTGGAACCAAGGTACTCTGCTCACATATGGGTAGGGGTGGAACCAAGGAACTGTGCTCGGAGGTGGGTAGGGGAGAAACCAAGGGACTGTGCTTAGAGGTGGGTAGGGGGTGGTACCAAGGGACTGTGCTCCAAGGTGGGTAGGGTTGAACCAAGGGACTGTGCTCGAAAGGTAGGTAGGGGTGGAACCAAGGGAAGGTGCTCGGAGGTGGGTAGCGGTGGAACCAAGGGACTGTGCTAAGAGGAGGGTAGGGGTGGAACCAAAGGACTGTGCTCAGAGGTGGGTAGGGGGGGAACCAAGAGACTGCACTTAGAAGTGGAACCAAGGGGCTGTACTCAGAGGTGGGTAGGGGTGGAACCAAGGTACTCTGCTCACATATGGGTAGGGGTGGAACCAAGGAACTGTGCTCGGAGGTGGGTAGGGGAGAAACCAAGGGACTGTGCTTAGAGGTGGGTAGGGGTGGAACCAAGGGACTCTGCTCACATATGGGTAGGGGTGGAACCAAGGAACTGTGCTCGGAGGTGGGTAGGGGTGAAACCAAGGGACTGTGCTTAGAGGTGGGTAGGGGTGGTACCAAGGGACTGTGCTCCGAGGTGGGTAGGGGTGGAACCAAGGCACTGTGCTCGGAGGTGGGTAGGGGTGAAACCAAGGGACTGTGCTTAGAGGTGGGTAGGGGTGGTACCAAGGGACTGTGCTCCGAGGTGGGTAGGGGTGGAACCAAGGCACTGTGCTCGGAGGTGGGTAGGGGTGAAACCTAGGGACTGTGCTTAGAGGTGGGTAGGGGTGGTACCAAGGGACTGTGCTCCAAGGTGGGTAGGGTGGAACCAAGGGACTGTGCTCGGAGGTAGGTAGGGGTGGAACCAAGGGAAGGTGCTCGGAGGTGGGTAGGGTGGAACCAAGAGACTGTGCTCGGAGGTAGGTAGGGGTGGAACCAAGGGAAGGTGCTCGGAGGTGGGTAGGGTGGAACCAAGGGACTGTGCTCGGAGGTAGGTAGGGGTGGAACCAAGGGAAGGTGCTCGGAGGTTGTTAGGGGGGTGGCGACAAGAAGAGATTCAGAAATAGGCAGTTCCTGCACATATTCTTTGAGAAAAAAAAACCCTGCTCAGAAGCATTTCTGCAAGTTGAACATAATGTTCCATCATTTTTCTAAGAGATTAGTGCCCGTCTCATCAGCTTCATCTAGTGGCCAGAATGCAGTATAGTTTTCTGAAATACCTCAATAAGAAAACTATACTTCATCTTAGCAACTAGATGGAGCTGAAGATAGAAGCATTAAACCCTTAGAAGTATTTGTGCAAGTTGAACAAAATGTTCTATATTTTTCTGACATTTGTACAACAAATGTTTTATGAATAGTCCCCATATCTGCAATACTGCGAGATCTGAAAAATGTAGCCATATAGTACACTATGTACATTATCAAAGAATTATTTTGTTTGTTTTCTGGTGAAGAGTTTTCTATATAGTATGTGTGTTTCCTATAGCTGCCCTATAAACAACATGGTTCTCCTTTCCCCAGTATTCCATGAATCGAACCTCTGTTCTATCTGACCTGGGATTGGACAGCTCTCATACCTCCCCAGTCATCTCTACGAAGATTTTCCAGCACCGGCGGCAGGGCTCAGATACCGCCTTTATTCCAGGAACAGACCAGGTACAGAGAAGGGGCAGTGATGTCAATGGCTGCATGGTGAAATGCTTCTGTAATATAGAATGTTTCCGTTTTTCCTCCCATCACCATCATTGGCCTTCATTATTTTCTTTTCCCTGTTGGAGGAAATAGTACCATGATATATATATATATATATATATATATATATATATATATATATATTTATTTATTGGCAGCTGTGGGTATAGGGTTCTGTTTACAGACGTTTTCTGTTGTTGGTCAAAATTTTTCTAACCTGACTGTTATGTCACCTAAGCTCAAAATGTAGTTCTACTTTAAACTCATAGGCTAGGTTCACACAATGGCAGATGGGTTTGGGAATCGCAGCTGTTCCCGCAACCATCCGCAGCAAAACACGCTGCTCTGTAGAGAAAGGGGGGATTTCCCCTGTTTGCAACCTTCCCCCCTTTATTTCCACATTAGGCACTTTATGTGGGGGGGGGGGGTTAGGGAGATGGGTACATGGTTTTGTCAGGTACCCGCTCCCATTTCTAGGTCAGATCACCAGAGTGATTTGTGAGGAAGTTCGGCCCCCTAATCCTCCTGCCACCCCCCCCCCCCCCCCTCCACACAGCCTTCTGGGATCTGTCTGTGTGTGTGGGGGGGTGGGGGGGCTTTTCACAATACGAAGTAGAAAACCGGCCATGAAGTCTTCACTGCCAGTTACCCTTACCCAAGATGCCAACGCCTGCACCCGAAGCTGATTGAAAAATTGGCTCGGAGGAGGACATCGCTGGATCCTTGGAAGGCAAGTGTCCTTATATTAAAAGTCAGCCGCTACAGTATTTGTAGCTGCTGGCTTTACATTTTTTTGGGGGGAGACTGAATTTCCTCTTTATTGGCACCCCCGTGTATCTCAACCTGTAGTGTGTTTATGGAACCACAGTGAAATCACACGGCGCGTGATTTCCGTGCGGCTGCATTTTTAAAAAGGTGAAAGTGGGAAATGCAGACACGGCAGCCCATTCAAATGAAAGGGCTGTCGTGCCCACGCAAATGCGTTCTGCAAACCTGCGCACATGTACCCAGCGATAGAGGGAATTAACGAGGGGTAGCAGAATCAGCATAAACATACCTGTTACCAAGGATTTTTTGCGCTGCTGATTGGTCAAGGACATAGAGTTGGGAAACCCTTTATATTTTTTTAAGATGTTATCGAAACATTAAAGTTAAAGTGCTGCTCTTGATAACTCTGTTTCTTTGTGTCTTTCGTAAAGCACCATGCATTTTAATCTAGAAATTGATTCAGTAGTACCTGTAGGAAATGACATTATTTTGGTTTTTTAGACCGACAACAGCCGACCTCCAATCATATGCCCAGAAGATGATTATGACCATGGTGACTATATAACCGAGGTAATATAGATTCATAAAAACCATGATTATGTATCTACAATTTGTGATGTTCGTGTTATATGTCTTTCTGAGGATGAAATATTGACTTTCTTGCCACTGCCCATACTTCGACCCATCGATAGTCCATCTAGACACCAAGGGCTGCATTGGAGGATTATAGTGGGATGTGCCTAATTTCTTTACCCCCATACCTCTAAAACTGGCCAAACATCCTGCAATCTGATGGAACAACCTTCTTCTGATCTACCAACAATTATGAAGTTTGAGAGCCTACCTGACTACATACAAATGGACTGGCTTGTTTAGGTATGGCATCTACTAAATAGTTTGGTAGATCTAAAGGAGCTTGAATAGAGGTTGCACATTCACACAGGAAGGTGTATGTCCAGTTTAAAAGCCAACAAGTTCAGGGGGGCCCTGTAGTACTATATAAAGGCCTGCTGGAATTCATAAAGATTCCGCAAGGCTCGTACTTCCTGGCAGTTATGCAGGCCGTAGATGGATCGAAAATCGGCCGATTTTTTGGCCGAAAATAAAATCGACCGATTTTCGGATCGTAAGTGGGTTAATTGTTCGGCCGTTTTTTGGTATTTTTGCAGATTTTTTTATCGGTAAAGTTGGAAAAAGATCGGCCGATTTTGCCGATTGGCCGATTTTCGCGGCAATTATGGGCAAATCGGCCGATCTTTTTACCAATAAAAAAATCTACGCATGAGCAGTGACCTGCAAGAGGAAGACAAAAAGAAGAAAGAAGAAGAGGATGAAGGTGAAGAAGAGGAGGAAGAAGAGGAGGAGGAAGAAGAAGAGGAGGAGGAAGAAGAAGAAGAGGAGGAGGAAGAAGAAGAGGAGGAGGAGGAAGAAGAAGAGGAGGAGGAAGAAGAAGAGGAGGAGGAAGAAGAAGAGGAGGAGGAAGAAGAAGAAGAGGAGGAAGAAGAAGAAGAGGAGGAAGAAGAAGAAGAGGAGGAAGAAGAAGAAGAGGAGGAAGAAGAAGAAGAAGAAGAAGAGGAGGAGGAAGAAGAAGAGGAGGAGGAGGAAGAAGAAGAAGAAGAAGAAGAAGAGGAGGAAGAAGAAGAAGAGGAGGAGGAAGAAGAAGAGGAGGAGGAGGAAGAAGAGGAGGAAGAAGAAGAAGAAGAAGAGGAGGAGGAAGAAGAAGAGGAGGAGGAGGAAGAAGAAGAGGAGGAGGAGGAGAAGAAGAAGAAGAGGAGGAGGAGGAGGAAGAAGAAGAGGAGGAGGAAGAAGAAGAAGAGGAGGAGGAAGAGGAGGATGAAGAAGAAGAGGATGAAGAAGAGGAAGAAGAAGAGGAAGATTTCCAGTCCGGCAAAAAGTGTCCCTGCAGAGAGCTCCGCTATTTCTTTGACAGTGCTTTGATATTTATAGCAGTTGCAACAATGTATCTATTTGTTTCCAAATAAAAACATATGTATCCGAAATGGATACAAATAGATACATTGTTGCAGCCGCTATAAATGTCAAAGCACTGTCAAAGAAATAGCGGCGCTCTCTGCAGGGACACTTTTTGCCGGCTGCAGACGGGATGAAAATCGGCCAATTTTTTTTTACCATTCCTGGTAACGTTGGCCGCTTGAATGAACGATTTTTCATTTTTTTTAAAGAACAATCGGACGGTTTTCTCCCCATCTATGGCCTGCATTAGTTTGATGTAGTATTTTATCCATTATTGGTCAACTATGAGCCCTTTCTTTTTCTGTGTGTCCCTTTAATGTCTTAAATATATTGCAATTGAACTCATTAGAACACTGCAAGTGCACCAGCTGATTAGAATGAACACATGCTCTCAATAAGGAATCAGTATTCCAAGGACATAGTTAACCACTTCCAGTCTGGACACTTTCACCTCCTTCCAGTCCTGGCCAATTTTCAGCCTTCAGTGCTCTCACATTTTGAATGACAATTACGCGGTCATGCAACGCTGTACCCATGTTAATTTTTTAGCATTTTTTCGAGAGAGATAAACCTTTATTTTGGTGGTATTTATTCACCACTGGGATTTTTATTTTTTTGCTATATAAATGAAAAAGTCCATAAATTTTGAAAAAAGTGTTTTTCTTATAAAATTGTGCAAATAAATAATCTTTCTTCATAAATATTGGCCAAAATGTATTCAGCTATCTTTTTAGTAAAAAAACAAAAAAAAAAACAAATTCGTTTATAACCAAAAATTATAATTTTTCTAAATTTTTTTTTTACATTTTTATTTTTTATATATTATTAGTTTTTTTTTAACATACTGTCACCCTAGCAGTACAGTGTCACCATAGACACTGTACTACTATGGGTGAAGATATTTTTTCTTTTTTTACACTGATTGCTTTTATACCCATAAAGGCTGTAAAATCAATTATTTCTCCTTCTCTCTGGCTGCATTCCTGCAGCCATTGAGAAACACCGTGTGAGCTGTGATTGGTCACAGCTTGTCACATGGTACAAGGCTGTTGTGAATAGCCTTGTACCGTGTGACCTCTGTGATCATTCACAGATTTCACTAGTAGTAAGCAATGATGTCAGGAAGTGACATCTTGCTTACTACTATTCATATGATCACTGATTGGCCAATTAGTGATCACGTGATTGGGACCTCACACAGAGGTCCCGTACAACGATCGATGTTCCACTGTGTCCTCACAGGGAGCGCGCCCAGGCAATGGATGCGGGGGGGACTTTTAGAAATGTCCATCCGCTTCGGCAGCGCTCCCGTCTGGCCGTTTATCTACATGTATTGGACGGGAAGTGGTTAAACATAGAGCCTTTTCCTAAGAACAGAAACAAGTAGGACTCTGCTACAAAATTTGTTAAAATGCTTGCATTGTATGCAGATAATCAAGTGGGGATTGTTTTATTTTTCTCAACAAAAGTGGAGTTACTCTTTAAGAAATTAAAGTGATACCAAAGTCTTGTTTAAAAAAATAAACGTCTATACTTACCTGCTCTGTGCAGTGGTTTTGCACAGAGTAGCCTAGATCCTCCTTTTTTCGGGTCCCCTGCCGATGTTCTTGGCACCCTACCTCCTGTCGGGTGCACCCACAGCAAGCAACTTGCAATAAGGGCACCCGAATAGGAGCACTCTTAAGCCGTGGCTTTTTCATTCATATACAGAGCCACAGCTTGACCCTGCCCCCCTCCCTCTCCTGATTAGCTCACTGGCTGTGATTGACAGCAGTGGGAGCCAATGGCCTCAGCCAATCAGAAGTGAGAGTCCCCGGAGAGCCAAAGCTCTCGTGGACATCGCTGGATCACGATGGGTTTCAGGTAAGTGTTAGGGGTTGCTGGAGAGGGGTCTGCTACACACAGAAGATTTTTTACCTTCATGCATAGGATGCATGCAGGAAAACAAACTTTGAGCCTTTAGAACCACTTTAAGTTGAAGGCTTTCCTGAGATGTGTACTTGTGAGTTGTGGTCTTTGAGGCACTTACACTGTAATGTTTCAATTGAATATATTGTCTCAATTCCTGAAATTGCTTTGGTGTTTTGCAGTTAAGTACATACCTTGGTCCAGCTGTTGGGCCACCTAACTGAGTTATCATACTTAACTTCTTCTGATGTCTCTGTGTGGATCGTAACGTTTTTCTTTTTCTTCTTTCAGTACGACAGTCTAGACTTGGAGAAGCTCAAAGCCCGGCCTGCCCATATGGGGGTGTTTATGAGATACATCTTCTCTCAAGCTGAAGCTGACCCGAATCCACTGGTAGCCCTTTTGTGACCATTTTTTCTTGACATATGCACGCAATGGGGAGTGATTTACTAAAGGCAAATAGACTGTGCACTTTGCAAAGTACAGTTGATCCAGAGCTTAGTAAATGAGCTGAAGCTCTTCTGACTTCCACCATCCATGTGCAAGCAAAAATGTTTTAATTTTCTTGCACGAGATTGGGTATTCTTTGCAAAGTACAGCTTTAACTCATTTATTTAGCTCTGGAGCAACTGCCCTTTGAAAAGTGCAATTTATTTGTCTTTAGTAAATCAACCCCAATGCGATGTACTGTGTAGGTGGGTCGTTTAGTGAAGTTCTGCTCATGCAGCTTAAAGGGGTCTGCTTATCCTTTTGACCCCCCACTTTACGCCCAGCTTTTGCCTGTAGCACCTACGTGAGGGTTAGGTCATGGACCTTCTGGTGAGATCCTGGGTAAACTGATGATCTCAAATCTAATAAGAAGCTCCAGCACAATGCATCAGGAAAATTGTTACAAGAGAGCCGATGTCTGCTTTCAAAAGAAAAATCAATTGCAGTCACTGAAAGGTTTGCGTTGCAAAAATTCCCAGTGAAGTGGTTTTACAGCTGAACTCTATGCACAAAAACTTTTATTTAAAGTGTTACTAAACCCAGCATCGTGCATTTACTATATCTGGTCTCCCAGGACTCTGCATTCACTATATCCGGTCTCTCTGGACCCAGCATTCACTATATCTGGTCTCCCTGGACCCTGCATTCACTATATCTGGTAAACCCGGACACTGCATTCACTATATCTGGTCTCCCCAGACCCTGCATTCACTATATCTGGTCTCCCCAGACCCTGCATTCACTATATCCGGTCTCCCCGGACCCTGCATTCACTATATCCAGCCTCCCCGGACCCTGCATTGACTGTATCTGGTCTCCCCGGACCCTGCATTGACTATATCTGGTCTCCCCGGACCTTGCATTGACTGTATCTGGTCTCCCCGGACCCTGCACTGACTGTATCTGGTCTCCCCGGACCCTGCACTGACTGTATCTGGTCTCCCCGGACCCTGCATTGACTGTATCTGGTCTCCCCAGACCCTGCATTTATTATATCCAGTCTCCCGGGCCCTGCATTCACTATATCCGGTCTCCCCGGACCCTGCATTCACTATATCCGGTTTCCCCGGACCCTGCATTCACTATATCCGGTCTCCCCGGACCCTGCATTCACTATATCTGGTCTCCCCGGACGCAGCATTCACTGTATCTGGTCTCCCCGAATGCATCATTCACAGTATCTGGTCTCCCTGGACACTGCATTCACTATATCTGGTCTCCTTGGACCCTGCATTTACTATATCCGGTCTCCCTGGACAATGCATTCACTATATCCGCTCTCCCCGGACCCTGCATTCACTGTATCCGGTCTCCCCAGACCCTGCATTCACTGTATATGCTCTCCCCGGACACTGCATTCACTGTATCTGCTCTCCCCGGACCCTGCATTCACTATATCTGCTCTCCCCGGACCCTGCATTCACCGTATCCGCTCTCCCCGGACCCTGCATTCACTGTATCTGCTCTCCCCGGACCCTGCATTCACTATATCTGCTCTCCCCGGACCCTGCATTCACTATATCTGCTCTCCCACAGTACACACAACACAGAAATGCAATTATTTTAGTAAATATAAACTACTAAATACTTTTTCTCATCAACAGTATATAGCAGTTTTCTGACTTCTATCAGTGTCCAGCCAAGCACTGGTTAATGCTTGTAGCAGTTTTTACTCTCCTCTGACTGTCCTATGAGGCTGCATAACCCCTGACCCTCTGTCTGGACAGTGCTGATTGGCCCTGTGCTGATCACATGCGCCTGTCCAAAGAAAAGAAAAACTCTCTAGCTATAAAAACTAAATTGAGCATGCGCAGAGTGACTCTTAGAGCTCAGTACTATCAGCAGATGATTTGGGGACAGAAGAAGGGGAGGATCAGAGAAGACAAGATCAAACAGTCTTTTTACACAATGCAGAGGATTAACCCCTTAGATTCCTCAGTGAGTATGCCAAGCATGCTTTACTGCATATACAGACTGATTTTACTGTTGTGGGTTTAGTAACACTTTAAAGCAGAGAAGTTGTATTGTATCCATCGTATTCCTTAAGGGCTTATGGTTCCACCATACATTCATAGGAAACTAGGATTCTTCATCAGCACATCTTGAAATGTTGCTAAAGAACAAGCACGTCTCCCGCGCTCAAGAGTGGTAAGCTGATGGAAATATTTGGGGAAACCCAAAGGACTCACCGCAAAACAAGGAAAGAAAAGGCACACCAGCCTAGTGCATTACCTGAGAGGTTCAGGAGATATATACTCTCAAATGACTGTAGTGACATATCAGTATCCAAAGCAATCACGTCACCAGGTCAGTTCCCAAAAGCACGAGAAGACCCTCAAACCACCGACGCGTTTCGAGGGGCGATCCCCTCTTCATCAGAGCCAGTCTCAATTGTTACACAAGCAGTCTTATTATAACAAAAAGTCCCATAAGCTGAATAGGCTCTTCCTAATGGAGGGTGCGGGTAATGGCCCAAATACTATACAGCTGGCTGCGAATTAAACGTCACTATGTCTTTGTGATTACACATTGTTTAACTCGCAGCCAGCTGTATAGTATTTGGGCCATTACCCCCCCCAGTGGGAGGAGCCTATTCAGCTTATGGGACCTTTTGTTATAATAAGACTGCTTGTGTAACAATTGAGACTGGCTCTGATGAAGAGGGGATCGCCCCTCGAAACGCGTCGGAGGTTTGAGGATCTTCTCGTGCTTTGGGAGCTGACCTGCTGACGTGATTGGTTTGGATTTGCCTTTCTCATTACGGTTGTCTGTGAGTATATACCTTGAAATGTTGGCCTGTGATGCCTGTTGCTTTATGTGAATAAGTAAAGGACAAGACTATCACTAGACCAAGGTGTGCTGATTACGATCCCGATGTTTCAGCTTAAAGAAAATCCCCCCCCCCCCCCCAAAAAAAAATAAAAAAACACATATCTGCCTGCAGTTTCATGTAGGTGACAGGTTCCCTTTGAAGCATTGAAAAGGTTTTATGCTTTCCTGCTCTAGCGGCTGCCTCATTACTCTGTATTCTGTCCTGACAGCTCTTCTATCTATGTGCGGAGGTGTGCCAGCAGCAGAACGCCAGAGATGCCTTTGCATTGGGCAAAGAGATTTGGATCGCCTTCCTGGATAAAAATGCTGTAAGTTACTGTAACTGTCCCTAACGCCTTTTTGTCATAGCAGGGGACACCCTTTCTTGGCCTTTTTGGGCTCTAAAGCATAAAGGCTATTTCCATCCAAAGCTAACATTTCAGGAGGGTGAGATTGCTGGCTAGTGAAATTTTATAATAACCCGATGGTGCCATCGGTGAGATATCCACTCCAGAAAGTCCCAGCTGTGATCAGTACATTGACAAATGAGGGTCTCAGACTAATCCTAAGTTATCTCCATAATGCAATATAAACAAAATATTTGGGGGGGGGGAGTCCAGCCTTGAGGGCACCAATAGTTATGTATCTGTCGCACTCCTTATGGGAAAAGCTTGGCATAAGAGGGTGCTGCAGCAACAACTTTTATCAACACAGAGAAGTGGTCTAAACTGGGGCCCTTTGCTTGCCTTTATATGGCCCATGGGGCAATGTTCCTCAGATTGATGTAAGGCACTATCATTTTCATTGACCCCAACAATAAGGCACCATTCCTCCTACTGGCACCAATGACATTACATTATTCCTTCCGCTGACAGCAGCGATGAAGCACTATTCCTTCTACTGACACCAATTACGGGGCCTAAATCATCCCACTAATACAAATGATTGGGCACGATTACTCTCACTGCCCCAACAATGGGGCACTATTCTTACCTCTGATACCAATGATGGGGCACTATTCTTACCACTGATACCAATGATGGGGCACTATTCTTACCACTGATACCAATGATGGGGCACTATTCTTACCACTGATACCAATGATGGGGCACTATTCCTCCCACTGATACCAATGATGGGGCACTATTCCTCCCACTGATACCAACGATGGGACACTATTCCTCCCACTGATGCCAATGATGGGGCACTATTCCTCCCACTGATACCAATGATGGGGCACTATTCCTCCCACTGATATCAATGATGGGGCACTATTTCTCCCACTGATACCAACGATGGGACACTATTCCTCCCACTGATGCCAATGATGGGACACTATTCCTCCCACTGATAACATTGATGGGGCACTATTCCTCCCACTAATACCAATGATGGGGCATGATTCCTCCCAGTAATACCAATGATGAGGCACTATTCCTCCCACTAATACCAATGATGGGGCACTATTCCTCCCATTGATACCAATGATGGGGCACTATTCCTCCCATTGATACCAATGATGGGGCACTATTCCTCCCATTGATACCAATGATGGGGCACTATTCCTCCCATTGATACCAATGATGGGGCACTATTCCTCCCATTGATACCAATGATGGGGCACTATTCCTCCCATTGATACCAATGATGGGGCACTATTCCTCCCATTGATACCAATGATGGGGCACTATTCCTCCCACTGATACCAATGATGGGGCACTATTCCTCCCACTGATACCAATGATGGGGCACTATTCCCCTCACTGATCCCAGTGATGGTGCACAATTCCTCCCTCTGACACCTATTATGGATCACTATTCCTCCCAATGATGCCAATGATGGGGCACTATTTTTCCCACTGACACCAATAATGGGGCACTATTCTTCTCACTAACACCAATGATGGGGCACTATTCCTGCCACTGACACCAATGATGGAGCACTATTCTTCTCACTAACACCAATGATGGGGCACTATTCCTCCCACTGACACCAATGATGGGGCACTATTCCTCCCACGGGCACCAATGATGGGACACTATCCTTCTGCTGACCACAATGTATTCTGTTCCCTTCACCATAATGCTGTGTA